GTGGCGGCCACACCCGTCGCCATCCACAGCGTCACAACCAGACCAATATACTCCAGGAAACTGTCCACCAGTTCGTCAGTTTCCAGCAGGAGTATTTTGGTCTGGTGAAAGAAGTCTTCCTTCACCAGCACGTCTGATATGGTAGAGATCAAGTAGTGTCTGTTGACGGTGGTGTGCGGACGGGTGGGCCAAGTGGTGAATGTTGGGGCAGACTGTCTGTGGACGGGTAACACGCCGGGCCCCTGGACCCAAGCTGAGCCCTCATTGTTGGCTCGCATGGGGCTCCTCAAGGAGGGCGGGAGCGTAGCCCTCACCAGTAACTTGAAGTGGTGGAAGACTGTTCCTACAGTGTAAAGGATGGCCGGCAACATAAACCCCGCCAGCAGCCAAAACCACATTGAAAGCAACAGGTGCGCACAATTCTCGCCCTTCCTCAATATCTTCATGGTCTCCGTAACATAATCCACGAAATGCAGTGCATAGAAGATGATGGAGAGCATAAGAGTCACCACGAAGATCGGGTGTGTGTTGTGGGTGGAAGAGTCTACGCCACATCTCGCCCATATCTCTATCATCCTGCTGATAATAATCTCCAACTTCGGAGATGACCAAAATAGTAAAACCGAAGCTGTTGTTATAGATATACTCGTTCCATAATAGACAAAAATGTGTCCAAGAAGTGCAACGCCAGTGTGTGTGAGGCCTGGGCTGAAGGGCGGCACGAAAGTCATTACCAGCATGGTCAGGACGAGCAGAAGTTTCAGAAGGGACAAGAAGGTCAGCCAGCGGCTCTTCCGACATCGACCATACGAGTCGAGTACGTAGGGAAAGACCCCGCACGTCCGCAGCACCGCCAGCATCACCTTCAAGCTCTTCATCCTGTCCACAAGTGCTGCCTCCGCTACTCTAAACCCGTTCATCTATCCGACTGCTTGATATACACGTCTGGTCGATGATAACTCACCACCACGCTTTGTTGATCCTTATGACTTCTGGAGTGAATAACAAACATTCTGATATTGATTATTGGAACATCTTAACTGGCGCGAAGTGCTTTCTTGTTTGTGACGGTTTCGACTGAACAAAAGGTTCGAGTAGTGCCGTCGGGTTCATTCTCGCCTCACAATCGGGAATGCCAAGCCTAATATGCATACATACACTGGCTGCCTGTCCCCCGACACAATGAATGATATTAATCAATTAACAGTCTGCCTGCAAAGTTCTTTGTTCAAAAGGCGTATTTAGTCTACATATCTGAATATGAAAATAGACAAGACAGAGATATAGAGATTCCTCTTCTCTTTCTCTCGCTCTCTCTCATATAGCACTTGAAAGGGGTCAGGAAAAGGATTTGGGATGGGACGAGGGGGAGGGGGCAATGAATGGTGCCCAACCACTTGGACAGTTAAATGTGTGGCCACATTTGTGGTAGAAAATAATAATAATAATATTAATAATAATAATAAAAAACTTGGACGCTCGGAGATTGAACGCCGACCTCCATGAAGCGAGGCCGTTGTTTTACCGTCCAACCCAAGTGAAAGGAAGGAAAAATGAGAGAGAGAAAGAGTCACTGACAACCAGACAGAGAAAGAGACCCAAGCCCCGCCGGGTAACCATTGGAGCGAGCCTCACACGGCTTTGCATGATGACTTATCTGGGGAGTGTCATAGGATGGTCTGAGTCAGCCCCTCTGACCGCCACACCTCTTACACGTCCTCGCTGGATATATTATTTACAACCGTAGAGCTTATATATTAGCGTATTCAGACACTAACATGTAAAAACAAATGCTTAGAAGACAGATTTGCGTTTTTCCACGACCTTTTGATTAGGGTGATGTAGTGAACATGTGTGCAGTGATGTAGGAAGATGTGGAGAGTATATGTGGGTAGAGATGCAGAGGGAGTGTGCAAGTGAAGATGGTGAGGGGGGGATGTGTGGGGAGGGAATATTGGTGGGTATGTGGGAGAGGCCTGGGCACAGGGTCAACCCGGGCACTGCCGGGTACCCTATGTACCATAGAGGGTACCCGGGCACTGCCGCGTACCTTCTGTAGTACATAAATATGTGAGATAGAAGAAGATACTGGTCGCCTCACCTGTTTGTTAAGGTGGTCTGCAGCCGTGTTGAAGGTCAGGATGGTCGACACTGAGATGAGGAAGAAAAGGACGTAACTCCACTTGTATACCAGGAATCCGTCCAAGAAGTTCATGACTAAGAAGTATGCAACGAAGGTTGTGGCGGCCACACTCGTTGCCAACCACAGCGCCACAACGAGACCAATATACTCCAGGAAACTGTCCACCAGTTCGTCAGTTTCCAGCAGGAGTATTTTGGTCTGGTGAAAGAAGTCTTCCTTCACCAGCACGCCTGATATGGTGGAGCTCAAGAAGTGTCTGTTGACGGAGGTGTGCGGACGGGTGGGCCAAGTGGTGAATGTTGGGGCAGACTGTCTATGGACGGGTAACACGCCGGGCCCCTGGACCCAAGCTGAGCCCTCATTGTTGGCTCGCATGGGGCTCCTCAAGGAGGGCGGGAGCGTAGCCCTCACCAGTAACTTGAAGTGGTGGAAGACTGTTCCTACAGTGTAAAGGATGGCCGGCAACATAAACCCCGCCAGCAGCCAAAACCACATTGAAGGCAACAGGTGCGCACAATTATCGCCCTTCCTCAATATCTTCATGATCTCCGTAACATAATCCACGAAATGCAGTGCATAGAAGATGATGGTGAGCATAAGAGTCACCACGAAGATCGGGTGTGTGTTGTGGGTGGAGGAGTCTACGCCACATCTCGCCCATATCTCTATCATCCTGCTGATAATAATCTCCAACTTCGGAGATGACCAAAATAGTAAAACCGAAGCTGTTGTTATAGATATACTCGTTCCATAATAGACAAAAACGTATCCAAGAAATGCAACGCCAGTGTGCGTGATGCCTCGCCTGAAGGGCGGCACGAAAGTCATTACCAGCATGGTCAGGACGAGCAGAAGTTTCAGAAGGGACCAGAGGGTCAGCCAGCGGCTCTTCCGACATCGACCATACGAGTCGAGTACGTAGGGAAAGACCCCGCACGTCCGCAGCACCGCCAGCATCACCTTCAAGCTCTTCATCCTGTCCACAAGTGCTGCCTCCGCTACTCTAAACCCGTTCATCTATCCGACTGCTTGATATACACGTCTGGTCGATGATAACTCACCACCACGCTTTGTTGATCCTTATGACTTCTGGAGTGAATAACAAACATTCTGATATTGATTATTGGAACATCTTAACTGGCGCGAAGTGCTTTCTTGTTTGTGACATTTTCGACTGAACAAAAGGTTCGAGTAGTGCCGTCGGGTTCATTCTCGATTCACAATCGGGAATGTCGGGCTGATATAAGTCTGATATGTATACATACACTGGCTGCCTGTCCCCCGACACAGTGAATGATATTAATCAATTAATAGTCTGTCTGCAAAGTTCTCTATTCAAAACGGCTATTTTTTCTACATATCTGAATATGAAAATAGATAAGATAGAGATTCCTCTCTCTCTCTCTCACTTGCACTGTCTCTAGTCGTAATGGTTTGGCACTATCTCATAATAATGCCATTCCTCTTCTCACTCTAATAATATATCTATCTGTCCAGGATTACTTCTTCCTGGGGATGTGTATGTGCGTGTGTTAGTAGTAGGATATAATAGAGAAAAAATAGATTGGTTAGAAAGGTGGGGTCCAAGAGCTAATAGCTTGACTCTGCAGACACAAATAGTAAATACAATCACGCACAGACTGCATCTTGATCATCCAGCGGCACATTCTTTTCTTCAAGGCTACCCTGCAAATAAATTTTCTTTGTCACTAATGTATTAAACCTCGTTTTCTTAAGGGTAAGCTGCTTTATTTTCTTTGCTATGGGTTTTTTTCTCTAAATTTTGCTAGCGCAGGAATGACATCACAAAACATCCACTAGACAGTGTGATATTGTAATTGCTAGAATCAAGCTGGGATATCAATATCTATGGCAGGTTTCGGCAGGAAATAAAAACTCCCAATGGTGAATATTCCAAACGGAAATTATATGAACAAGAGCTAGGACATATTCTCTAACACTATGTCCGTTATAAGTGACTTCACACCAAATGGTATGAGGTACTTTGAGCTCTGTAATTACTTCATACACTCAGGAATATCGGAAGATATTCTTGTACCCAGAGTTTGCTAATGCCAGGCTTATGCAGCCTTGCATTTCATGTTCTCTCCTGTGAGATGGGGATATTAGATGAATTTATAGCAATTTTGTTATTTTCACTTTGTAATAGTAAAGTAAGTAAAATAAAGTAAAGTAATCTTTCATATTGAATAGGACAGCAGCACATTGCTGAGTATACCTAAGCTTGTTAATAAAAAAAAAACTCTTCTTTTTGTCTTTAATCAATTTAAACAGAACACATATATTTATATATAGATATTTAACTGAATTTTGACAGTAAACTTATGTACACAAATATATCAAAATAAAATCTTGCATAAATTAAAGATAAAAAACTTATTTGTTTTAATTTTCTAAACTTTAATACTTAAATTATTCCAACACCCCATATAAGCCATCAAAATAAAATAATTTATACCAAGAAAGGCGTCATTGGACTGTTACAAGAATTACTCACTCAAAACTTTTCCGGGAAGCAGCGCTGGAAAAACCAATAAGTCATCTTAAGAAAACACGTCGCAAACATTGATGTTATAACTGTCAAAATATATTCCTCCATTATCTTCATTCTTAAAATGCAGCATTTTCTTGGGAATTAATCAATGCTAAGTAATATATATTTTACAGCCCTATATCAATCACATAATGTTGTACAGAACGTTTTAGATCGTGCAACGTGAGCAAGGAACTTAGAGAATGCGTTTTGAATATCAAAGTTAAATTAGAATTTGTTATTTAGCGGCGGATGAAGAGGTTCCGATGCACTTTTGTCAGCGGCGGCGCGAGGCGGCGAGGCGCTCCCGGAGTCCATGCACTCAGGAGACAAGATGGCGGCAGGAACAGTCGAGGTGATGAATCCTCCTGCCAAAAAGTATGGCTCGGTGGTGATCACGTTGAACAACGTGCTCATCCCGCAGGACAAGCTGTCGCCGAGCCCGTCGCAGCAGGACGGCCTCGACCCGGAGATCGAGATGGACCTGAGGATCCTGGGCTGCGAGTTGATCCAGACGGGGGGGATTCTCCTCAAGTTACCTCAGGTGAGTTGGCACTTCTTACTTTCTTCGCTTTTCCCGGCTCCTGTGGTGGTCAGTGGCCGCATGGCGTCGAGGGCTGTGTCCCCCTGGGGGTGTGGACTCCACCCTGAGGGATATGGAAGAGGTTCTTGAAGGGGAATTGTAAAATAATGATGGCGGAGGCTGGGAAGGGACAGCCAAGGCCACGGAGACTTCTTCCAGGAAACGCGTAAATAAAATGACCCTAAACTCAGTGTTGTTCGTTTAATTATATATTCCAAAGATTAGTGTAATGTTTCTGGCTGTATTTGAGCGGTTGCTTGAGAGAAAAGTCTTAAAACTTGAGGATTTGTGGAGTACCGGATGGAGCATATTTTTCTATTTTTTGTGTGTGTTTTGGAGTTTGATCTTTTGTTTTCCTTTATCTTGCTGAAGAATGGTGAATATATCGGCTGGATGCTGATAGTTCACTATTTTTCTGTTGGGTATAGGTCACTTTCGCAGCAAAGATTGTTCGGCAACATTTGAAAACACAAACCAAGATCATATATATGTAACAGATATATGTAGTTTTGACCACTTGGGTTGGACGGTAGAGCGACGGTCTCGCTTCATGCAGGTCGGCGTTCAATCCCCGCGACCGTCCACAAGTGGTTGGGCACCATTCCTTTCCCTCGTCCCATCCCAAATCCGTATCCTGACCCCTTCCCAGTGCTATATAGTCGTAATGGCTTGGTGCTTTTCCCCGATAATCCCCCCCTTATCATTTGGTAAAACTGTCGAAACACCTGTACGGAGCATTTTTGGGTGTGGTATTTGTTATAAAGTGTTCTACCGCACCTATCTAAAGGAGTAAACCCATTACAATTTGTTCATTGTTCACCATTCTGATTTTATAATGCTGAGGGCTTCAGTTACAATAAACTGGGAATTTTGGTCGTTGGGTTTTGACGCTGATTTCGGGATATCTGTGAGGGACGCGGTGTTTGGTGGAGGGAAGGTTTGGTTACCTTATACTGTACCTAATCCTTATAAATACCTTATCCTAACCTTACGACTCAAATATTTGAAGAAAACCAAATTATATAAAAAAATAAACATCTTCTGTACGTGTATAAAACTTGGCACAAAGCAATCACGATTGGTGCACATGTCCAATTGCCTATTTGTTAAAATTCGTTCTAAAGATAGTTTATAAGAACAATATTAGGTTTTCGATTAATATTTGTTGGACTGCTCTAGTTAATGGTTACTTTGTATAGGATGTAATTTGCATGTAGATTTTCATACCTAACTATATACTGAGTGTGTATGAGTGTGAGTGTGTGTGTGTGTGTGAGAGAAAGTGTAATATTAAAAGTTCAGCTTTCTATATTAAAAACCATCCCCTAAGCATAGGGAAGTATAAAAAACAGTTTCACTTTTCAAGATGCCAGATGTTTACTGGAGGTATCAAATACTATTTGGGGACATGCTATTCCTGCGGGAATTTCAAATATTTAAAAGTACTGTGCTTTCAGCCATTTGGGCTGGACGATAAAGCGACGGTCTCATTTTATGTAGGTCAGCGTTCAATCTCCGACCATCCAAGTGGTTGGACACCATTCCTTACCACCCGTCCCATCTCAAATCCTTATCCTGACCCCTTTCCAAGTGCTATATAGTCTTAATGGCTTGATGTTTTTCCCTGATAGCTCCCTCCCTCGAAAGTACTTTAAATGTCTTGATAATTGCACCTTGCGTCGATCATCTTAAGTGCATTTCTAGGGTTAATATGTGAAGCTGTGAAGCATATTGCACAGTATGAATGTACAGAGCCGTTAGACAATACTAAATATATATTAGTATGTCGAAGAGAATTTTTGGATACAGTGACCTGTACTCGCCTAATTGCGGGGGTTGAGCTTTGGCTCTTTGGTCTTGCCTCTCAACTATCAATCAACTGGTGTACAGATTCCCGAGCCTACTGGGCTCTACTCTTCGTGGTGTGTATGAAATACGTATGTATAAGACCCCACTGACCCTTGACCCTTTCACAATACGATCCCCCAGCCACTATCATGTCCCACACCAGTATTTCGACAACATTTTAATATTTTCTACAGTATATTTGATATTAAACAATTTGGTATATTTTCACTGTATGATGTGCTTCTTCTATCTTAATGTATATAATTGATTAGATTAGATGTGAAAATTGATATGCAAATCACCTGTTATACAAAGTGACCTTTTTTGTCAGTCCTATCTGATCATATCCCAAAAATTTAATTACATTGCATATGTGGTTTGGTTAAAGAATCCTCATGTCTAAGTTACGCACAAAGATTTAACAGTTGCCAGAATCTGACCACAGATTTAACAAAGATTTGAATAGTTGATTTTGTGGACTGCTGGGATGTTGTTCTAGATTCAGCCACTCTGAACAAGTGCCCAGTAGCACGGGCTATGGTGAGCCCGTAGGCTGGGATGCCACTCCCCGAAGTGAGGTTAAGCAAGCTAGTGAAGTGCAGTACATAAATGTTGAAGTCATTTTAAGTTTGAACAGCTGCTTATTATCATATATTTTTTTACATGTAAATCTTTGCAGATGATTGCTCTTATCGTATGGTAAAGAGAAGAAAAGGATTGCATAATACGAGTAATCGTGCTCCCAGTATGCGCCCGGCCCACACCCGAGGTGAACTGGGTATGAGTGGGTAGGTGAAGCGTTAAACATCAATGTTTATTATTCATTTTACATGTTTAGCTGCTATTGGTTATTTTTTTACATGTAAAAGTTCTCAAATAATTGCTCTATCATATGATTCAAATAAAATGTTAATGTTTTAGTGTAATATTTAAACAATGTCAAAGAAAGGGGGTTGTAACTCTCCTGTCTGCTTTTGTCATCTGCAAGTATAATTGTTATTCATTTCATCTCGTAGTTACTCTAGGGTTATCTTGAGATGATTTCGGGGCTTAGCATCCCCGCGGCTCGGTCCTCGACCAGGCCTCCCTTTTGTTACACATCCCCAGGAAGCAGCCCGTAGCAGCTGTCTAACTCCCAGATACAGTACCTATTTACTGTTAGGTAACAAGGGCATCAATGTGAAAGAAACTGTCCATTTGTTTCCGCCTCCACTGGGGATCGAACCCGGAACCTTAGGACTATGAATCCAAAGAGCTGTTCACTCAGCTGTCAGACCCTTTGGTGGTGATAGTTGCAATAGACAGTGGATATTTGGTACAATAGAGAGAAGTAAGTTCAATACAGAAAAAAGTAATGCTGTGGTGTTTGGAAGAATGGAATAGGATGTGGATTTTGTAGATCCACATCTACCAGGAGGCCTGGGCGATGACTGGGCTTGGGGGAATGCTAAGCCAAGACACCATCACAAGGTAATCCACATAGAATGGCATGGCAGGGATTTGAACTGAATACAAATACGGGAGGAAATCCTGGAAGAAGTAGTAGGTTTTAAATGCTTAGGGAAAGTTTTAGGTAAAATATATTAGGAAAGTGTTAAAGAAAATAAAAGATTGGAATTTATAATGAATGAGGATAATGAGTGCTAGAAGAGGTAGATATATAATACACTTAAGGTCAAATATGTGAGTGTAGAAACAGCCAAAATATCTTTCTATTAGTTGAATTTGACAGTTGGCCTGTGCATAAACAATTATTCCCTCAAAAAATTTTTAGTTCTAATATTGTTAAAATGCATTCTCTGATCACGGGAAGCTTAAAAAAAATTGTGGCATACTTTGGTCGAGATAGGGTGAGGAAGACTGGCTAAATTCAGGTATTGACAGTACTGTACTGTCTCCACGGTCTGTACTACTGTACTACTCCACGGGAGCCGATCGGCCGAGCGGACAGCACACTGGACTTGTGGTCCCGGGTTCGATCCCGGGCGCTGGCGAGAAACAATGGGCAGAGTTTCTTTCACCCTATGCCCCTGTTACTTGGCAGTAAAATAGGTACCTGGGTGTTAGCCAGCTGTCACGGGCTGCTTCCTGGGGGTGTAGGCCTGGTCGAGGACCGGGCCGCGGGGACACTAAAGCCCCGAAATCATCTCAAGATAACCTCATCTCAAGATAACCGTGGTACAGCCTGGTTGAGGACCGGGCCGCAGGGACAAAAAAAAAAAAAAAAAAACTGTGGCAGCCTTCTGATGGGGAGCTCCCAAGAGGCAGTAAAGGATATTGGTAGAAAAAGAGAGTAGTAATGGAATTGAAATAAATAGTTTGTGTTTGGGAATTATGGGAAAAAATATGCTGTACAGATTGTGGGAAATAATGAATATTTTTTTAGACATTTCTCTAGTCTAAAGATGTACAAGGTTTATTGCAAAACTTTAAAAGTGTGACTTGAATGAGGAGACATTCAATAAAAGAACACTAATATATACTGAATATACACCACCCACAGATATCGATAAAAAAGTGGCAGGTTTTAGTTTTGTCATACATCCAAGTGTTTGGACTCCCTGGTTCTTGTTTCCAGTTAGTGAGACGTGATACCCATTTGTAAAGGAATTTTTCTAGTATAACTATGTATATTATTGTCATTTTTATATCTGGGCCTGGTTGATGGGATTCTGGGAGTTCTACTCCCAAACCCGGCCCAAGGCCAGGCTTGACTTGGGAGAGCTTGGTCCAACAAGCTGTTGCTTGGAGCGGCCCACTGGCCAACATATCCATCACAGCCCGGTTGGTTCGGCACTCCTTGAAGAAAACTGTCTAGTTTTCTCTTGAAGATGTCCACAGCTGTTCCAGCAATATTTCTTATACTCGATGGGAGAATGTTGAACAACCGTGGACAGTGTTCTCTGATTGTGCTTCCTGGAGAGGGTTCTGATTGATTGTGCTTCCCGATTGACCTGGAGAGGGTTCTGATTGATTGTGCTTCCCGATTGACCTGGAGAGGGTTCTGATTGATTGTGCTTCCCGATTGACCTGGAGAGGGTTTCGGGAGTACCACTCCCCAAGCCTGCCCTGAGGCCAGGCTCGACTAGTGATAACTTGGAGCAGCCTGCAGGCTACGTATCCTCTGCAACTCTGTTGGTTTGTCACTTTCAGGAAGTTGCCTAATTGCTTCTTGAAGTCCACCTTTATTGAGGTAATATCTCTTAAGCTTGGTGGGGGAGTACCGAGCAGTTGTGGACCTCTAAATACTCGAGTGTAGTTATAGGATGAGAGCTATGCTGGCAGTATCCCATCTTCTCATTCTTTATCATGTAAAGCTTTGAAACTAATGATGGTTTTGGCCTCCACCACCACCTCACTTATTCTAACCATCTACCACTCCGTTTGCGAAAGTGAATTTTCTATATCTTCGGCAAGTTTGTTTAATTAGTTTCAATCTATGACCTCTTGGTCTTGAAATTCTGGATCTCGAGAATTCGTCATCATTAATTTTCTCGATTCCCGTTGCTATTTTGTACGTAGTGATTGTCACTTTTTTCTTCTATCTTTGGAATATTTAATGCTTTTAACCTCTCCTCATAACTCATGTCTTTCGGTTCCAGAAGTCATTTAGTTGCATTTCTTTGCACCTTTTCCAGTTTGTTGATGTGCTTCTTAAGAAATGGATACCATATAATTGCTGCATATTCCAAGTTTAGTCTCACAAAGGTTGTGAACCATTTCTTTAGTATTTCACCATCCGTGTATTTATAGGTAATTCTGAAGTTGGAAAACGTAGCATAGGCTTCTCATGCAATGCTCTTCGTGGTCCTCAGGTGACAGTTTTTCCATCTAGAACCAGTTTCTACTGCTATTATTTCTAGTATCTTCGGCAAATGTGATCATATATTTGTGTGTTCCTTTTGGTAGGTCGTTTATGTAGACAATGAACATTACCGGTGCAAGAACTGAACCCTATGGTACTTCACTTGTGACATTTCTCCAGTCCGATACTCTGCCCTCATTTTTCCGTCAAGAGAATTTTTCATCTGTTAGAAGTTGCCCTGTGACTCCTCCAGTTTCCAGAACAACCACTTATGTGGAACTGTGTCAAAAGCCTCTTTTTAGGTCCAGATAAATGAAGTCAACCCAACCATCTTTTTCCTGTAAAATCTGTGGCTCTATCATAGAAACAAAAGTCGATTCATTACACAGGAACTTCCAAATCGAAAACCATACTGTCTGTTATATCGTTTTTCTCCGGGTGTTCTACCCATTTGCTTTTAATTATTTTTTCCAGTATTTTAACTATTACACTTGTCAATGATACAGGTCTATAATTAACCCTTAGACAGTGGCTATGAACTGGTCATACCAGTTCATACAAAAAAAAATTAATAAAACAAATTCCAAAAAATAACTTTTCATTGTAGAATTATTAATTTGCATGCAAAATGTAAGAAACACAAAAATAGTGAATATTTTTTTCACTGGGTGGAGGCACTTTACAAGGCTGCTTCTGGCACTTGTCAACACCTGGTGCTCGACTTTGCTGACACTTCCTGTTTTATCCTCCGATGTTTTATCACTTGTTTTTCTTTATTTACATCCACAGAGCTATTATATCCATATTTGCATCATATGTAAAACCCAGAAAATAATTGTTTCAATCGTCATATGACTGCATTTCCCTAGACACATTCATGACGATAACTGCATGCGTACCATGAAAAAATCCTGGATGGTAGCAGGATTTTTTCTTGGGTAAAGGTAAACTCCATTACATTGACATAAACCTGTTACTGTATATCCATTTTTGCTTCATACATGTAAAACCCAGACAATAATTGTTTCAATCTTCATATGATAACCGCATTACTCTGAATCAACAATTGATGATGTCTACCGCCCAAGGGTTAAGAGGGTCTTCCTGCTGCCACTTTTGTAGATTGGAACATTGTTAGCGTTTTTACCTGCCAGGACTCGTGGACACAGAGATGACTGGAAAATAAATTGAAGTGGAATGCTGAGCTCGGTTGCACATTCTCAGAACCCTAGGTGAGACTCTCTGGGCCAACTGTTTTGTTCCTACTGAGCCTCCTTGAGCATTTTTTCTACTTGTCTCTAGACACCTCAATGTGCTCTGCTGTTTTCCGCAAGTCTTATTGCGTGTGATTCTCGGAAAATATAATTTTAAACAAATGCACCTTGGAACTGTTCGTTTAATGTTTCACACTTGAATCTGCTTCCTATTTTCAACCTCTGAATTTTATCTTCCACCTGCAATATGTTTTTAATAAATTTAAAGAATAGGCCTGGTTCTGTTTTACATTTGTTCGCTATCCCTTTCTCAAAATTCCTTTCTGCCTCTCTTATTGCTGTGTAGCTGTTTCTTGCTTCCTTGTATTGCTGGTATGTTTGAGGGTTTGGCCTCTTTCAATTCTACAATTTTGTGTCTTGATCTATGGCCCTCTTGCAATCTTTGTTGAACCAATCTTGTTTCCTAGTTCAGCATCTATATTTTGGTACAAATTTTTTGTGCCTTTATCATATCTTTCACAAAACATGTTATCTTGGTTATCTTTAGATGATTTCGGGGCTTTTTTTTTTTTTAGGGCCCCCGCGGCCCGGTCCTCGACCAGGCCTTCACCCCCCAGGAAGCAGCCCGTGACAGCTGACTAACACCCAGGTACCTATTTTACTGCTAGGTAACAGGGGGCATAGGATGAAAGAAACTCTGCCCATTGTTTCTCGCCGGCGCCCGGGATCGACCCCGGGACCACAAGTCCAGCATGCTGTCCACTCGGCCGACCGGCTCCCTGTCATACATCCCTGTCCTGTCATATATCTCGTATATTTGCATAACAAGAAGTCTATCCAGTCAAATTGATCAAAGACCCTTTTTAAGTTCCCCATAGTGTCCTCTCCTGAAATGAGGTTTTTCAAGTCTTCATTTTCCTCATTCTCTTCTAGATTATAAGGCATTGCATTCTTTATTTCCAAAAGGACATGGTCACTTTTGCTCAATGGGAGAAGGTACTGAATTTCATTCACCTAGGCTCTAGGAGACGAACTACAGACCCCATGCATGTGAGGCAGAAGCTCTGTCCACGCAGCCACGCCTTAATAAGGAAAGATTCCAGAAGCAACTACTGCTGCTATGCTGGAATTTTCAGCTTCCCCTGACTACTACTGAAGCTCGGAAGAATTAACACTTTCGCGCTCCGTGGAAACTCGCGGTTGACAGGGGGTAGGTGGCCCCTCCATGCGGGTAAGCGCGCGGTGACACCCAAATGTGTATACTCGATCCAGCTTTATCACCTTAATTCTCGTGCTACGTCGCTCGTTTTGGTATCATTGTGTTCGCAATTAAATTCTCTACAGGTGTGTATAAATATAATGTCCAAAAGCCTAGCGTGACTCCCAACAGCAAAGCGTAAAGTCGGCAAAAACGCACAAAATCAGTAACATGTGCATTCTCGTTCCATTTTTTTACCTTAATTCTCGTGCTACGTCGCTCGTTTTGGTATCATTGTGTTCGCAATTAAATTCCCTACAGATGTGTATGAATAAAATGTACAAAAGGCTGGAGTGCCTCCCCGCAGAAAAGCCTAAAGTTACCCGTGAACGAGCACCATTTTGTACATTGCACCCTAATGTTCAACTCGTTCAATTTGATAACATCAAATTTCGTGCTACGTCGCTCATTTTGGTATCAAATTGTTCGCAATAAAAAGGCGATTATTTTAAAACTAGTCCCAGAATAATAGAGCAATAACTGGATTTTTAACAAATATTTTAATTCTGGACGCTCATCATCACAAATTTATTTATATCTTTCCAGTGTTCTGACATAAATATTTGTGTTACATCTTTCATTTTGGTATCAAATTGTTCGTAATAAAAAGGCGCACATTTTAAAACAAGTCCCAAGATAATAGGACAATAAATAGAATTTTAACAAATATTTTAATATTCAGACCATAGACCTATTTATAATATTTCAAGTGTTTGGACATCAAGTTTCATGTTATATCTTTGATTTTGGTATCAAATTGTGTGCAATCTAAAGGCGCTTATTTTAAAACCACTACCAGATTGATCTGATAAAATTTAAATTTTTAAAAAATATTGTAATGAGTGACTCAGTATTGCGTCGTTGGAACACATTCAGTAGAAAAATGAGTGACGAATTATTCAGTCTGTGGAACGCGAAAGTGTTAATGATTCACGCCCGCGTCATGTATATTGTCATCCACACTTTTGTGGAAATATGATTATATTGTGGTGGGACACGTAGTTGTTTCATTGTGGGTAGATGCAGGAAACGGTGGCTGATTGCGGTCTCTACCTCATGCCATGAATATCATAAATAGCATTGTGTTCACCAATATCTGAACATTGTATGTACATACAGTAGTTGCATTGAACAATGCAAAATGCAGTTACCTATTTTATTCATCATTAAGTGGTGCTGTGGCTCCTAGCTACACAACGATACTGCTGAATGCACCAGCCTGTCACTGCCTCAGTACCGAGGCTCTCACAGGCAGTACGGATGCTGACGATTTGTTGTTTTTCAAGATGGTGTCCGTTTACTGAAGTCCTGAGGCACAGGATGGTGAGCCCATGTACCTGCAGGAGTTTTGAATCGTTCCTATACCTAAAAGTGCATCATAGTGCTCTGCAGTGGTTTAAGCAAATCAGTTTCTCACGGTGTCTCCAAGAAAGCATTCTACTCGGCTCGCCTCTGCTGTTCTTGCCTTTTACATTTTAGTCCTCTCAAGTAGATTTGTTCCTATAATGGGTCAATCCATATTGACCACTGTCTACATATATCTAATTACTAATTTCACAGTTACACTGTAAGTGTAACTGTTTGCACTTATTATCTTGAACGTGTATATTTTGTATGTGTAGATTGGTATGAAAAGCAAATATCCCATTATTTTGGAGCATGTTAATCTTTGGTTGCCAAGAAGCATTGTCAGTGTTTACCTATGATGTTTATTTGCTCTACAGGCAACATTAAAACAAAACAAAAAAACAAAGCTACATTCAGTAACTGATTTGGTTTTCATTTGTGAGGTGTTGAATAATCTAATTATCCCATAATACAAATAAAAAGGTTGTAACCTTGACATTTGATCTAAAACTAAGTCAATATTTTTTAAAAGGTTGTAACCTTGACATTTGATCTAAAACTAAGTCAATATTTTTTAAAAGGTTGTGCAGCGGTTTTGCTCTAATGGAATAATTTTTGTTTGTACCCCTTTCCACTGCCTAATAACTTTGATTGCATCAAACTGCTGCTTTCTAATTATTTTTCTAAGTCCAAATGATGAAAATGTTCTTGAAATTGAATGTTTTAGAGTTCTTAAAACTGCTTTCCAGTCCAGTGAATATGGAATTGTATCAGAAATTTGTCTATGTGGCCAGTTAATAGTATGAGAATAAATATGGTAAAAAGGATTCCACTTAAATAAATATATGTAAAAAAGAATAATTTATCTTCTAGATCTGTGATAATTGTAAATGCTATTAGGTAAATTTGTGTTATCAAAATTTAATTATTTTGTAAATTGAATTTTTCTGAGACCATTAACTTTTTTAAGATATGTTTCATGGCCTGTGACAGTTATGCATTTTGTACTTTTGGAGAAGGCTTAGAAAATGTTAAGTGTGTGTTCCTTTGATCTTTGTTGAATGAGGAATACCATATAGTTTTCACATTGTTTCTACCCCTAAAATTTGCAGTGTCTAATATCCGGAGAACGCCTTCGCATATCGGCATGAACTTTCATGACGTGTGTGGGGTTGTGCTAAGAAGACCCCCTGTTGTTGTTGTTGGTAGGTAGCATATTTTTAGAACCAGTTTTGTTAATTATTGGTTGGGGAAGGGGAAATAAATAATAAACATTGCTGTTAAAAAAAAATTTTATACGTGCTGCTAAAAAAATTTTTTATACGTGCCCCGATACTTGGGAATAATTGTAGTAGTTTCAGTTGCAACGTGATACTCTAGGAAATTTGCCAATAACTGCAATTTGTTATTTATACAGTAGTAAGAATTTTTTGCAGATATTTTTATTTATCTTGGATGCTATACTATAAACTATAGATTTATGTAGTTTTATCATTGTGGGTGCGTGTTTAAATTTACAATAATAATTGAAGTGGTTTGCAGTGATTTCACTCTGGCCACTATCTCTAGAATTATCCTTTTTAAGAATGGCATCAGACATTTTAGGGTTTTACTTGGAATAGTAGATGCTATACAGTATTTAGTTTTCAACTTTCTGACCAAATTCTACATACATGGCATCGGTATAGCATTTGTAACAATGGTAATGCCGGCACAGTATGTGATGGTTTCTGTTCTTTCCTCGCTTCTTCTGTTCACCTACTTGACCATAATTATCATTCAGCTGAAAGTTGTTAATACACAGGCTGTGAACATTATAATTTTTTGTATGGCAAAAATGGGGCAGACTGATGAAATGGCATGAATAAGAGTTGATAGGAAAACGGCAAGCATCAGGAATGTACTGTATGTGAAATTAAGGATATAGCACAGTGTGGGGCAGAAGTGGAGATAGAAGAGGAAGGTTTGTAATTATCAGGGGAAGCGCCAAGCCATTACGACTATATATATCACTTGGAAAAAGTCAGGATAATAATTTGGGATGGGATGGGGGAAAGGAATGGTGCCCAACCACTTGGACAGTCGGGGATTGAACACCGACTGTGGAGATGAACAAGTGCCCAATAGTTTCCAGGTGAACAGGAGAATCACTTAAGTGTTTTGGTCAGGGATAAGGGTTTAATTGACCTAGACATTTTTTAAATAAAAATGTTCACACACGAAGTGAGGAACAAGTGGGCCAGGTTGATAATGGAATAGGTGGAAATAAAAGCAATATGATAGGTGGTAAAGAGTTGAATTAACTGTCAGTTGTCAGGGGGGCTGATGGCTGAGTGGACAGCGCTTCGGATTCATAGTCCTGAGATTCCGGGTTCGATCCCCGGTGAAGGTGGAAACAAATGGGCAGAGTTTCTTTCACCCAGATGCCCCCTTTTCACCTATCGGTAAATAGGTACCTGGTAGTTAGACAGCTACTACGGGCAGCTTCCTGGGGGTGTGTAACAAAAAGGAAGCCTGGTCGAGGACCGGGCTGCGGGGACGCTAAGCCCCGAAATCACCTCGAGATAACCTCAATATGTAGCAACCAGAGCGACAGTGAATAAAAAAAAATGGTCTCGGAACTGGGGGATACCTCTTGTTTGGCTGCAAGTAAATGAAATACAGTACTGTACAGTATATCTTGTTGAAATTTTCTCTGAACTTAATTCATTCAATTTTTGTTTTAATTTGTTCCTTTTTCTGCATTGAGTTTTATTTCTAGTAACTTGTTTAAGTTGCTGGTTAGTTTCCAAGATATATGATGCTTTTCTTGAAGCTATTGTATTTCATTTTAGAGGGAAAGTGCGTCTTAATAAGAGAAAGATGTATTGCTAGTTGAGATTATGTACTTTGATAGTGCAAGCTTTTTGATACCAGAGGCTTTTCATATTTACTTTTGGCTAATATTGTTTGCATATAGGATTTGCTGAGGAAAGAGTTCAACTTTTCCCTACAGTGAAGTCTGTGATTCACTGTTAAATGATTAAGCATTAAAGCATAATTTATTGCCTAGTTTGTACAACATAATAATAAAAATTATAATTATAAGGACAAATGTACTGTACTCTGGTTATATTACATGGCACTTGTTACTTTGCATAGATGTGAAAGGGTCAAGAGTTACTAGATTGTTTCATGTGCTGTCCACAGTCAATAATGTACAGTAGAACCTCAGTACTCTTAACAGCTTTTCCTCCACATTCTAACAATTCGGTGCTTGAAAGCTGTTTTCATGTTCGGTAGTCAACAGTTTGCTCGACGCTCAAACTTAACACGCGTCCCAGACGAGTCAATTTCCCACTAGCTGTCTTATAGTGCACAACACAATTAGGCTCCTCTAAACTTTCTTGTGTTTTCTTGGTCAACATGACAGCTAAGAAAGTTAGTGATAAGATGCAAGCAAAAAGAAAATTAGTTAGTATCACGATCGAGATGAAAAAATAACTCGTAGCAAAATATGAAAACTGGTGCCTGGGTGTCTGCTCTTGCTACCGAGTTTGGTATGACAAAATCTAGTTTTAAAATCTAATAAAAGAACTGTGTGCAAAACAGGGGAATGTGCAAAGTTTTCTTGAAAGATATCGCCGACAAAGCTGTGATAATGGTAGGGGGGGGGGGGACTCCCTTGCCAAAGAATAACATTGTCATCCTATGCCTCACCTTTAAGTGCAGGTAAAGTGTATACAGTATTTGCATTTAGTTCATTGATTTATTTATTGTATCGATATATATATTTTTGTGGTCTGGAATGGATTATTCCAGTTTACATTATTCCTTATGCGAAAAAATTGTTCAGTACTCGAACAGATCGACACTCACCCGGCCTTCAGGAACCAATTAAGTTTGAGTACCGAGTTTCCGCTGTACAGTATTTGTAACATGGTGTTGTGTTCTTTAAGGTGTATTCACATACTGATGACCAAACAACACATCAGAAAGTGAAGAAACGACGATGTCATTTCTCTACTTTGATGTGTGGTTTTGGTCATTATATCTTCAGCCACGTTCTTGTGACTCGTCGCATTCTCATACTGTTAATTGGCAACATTAGTTTTATGACATGTTCTACTTAGCTTAGGTATGTAGGTACTGATATTTAAGATGAAATTTCAAGGCAGAATAAACATTTTTAATTTTGATCAGCTTTGACATAAAATTAAAGTTTAAACATTGACAAATCTGAGCAACCAAAGGTCAGCCACCTCTGAAAATTGAATGTTTTGGCTTCTTATGCAAGTCTTGTTAATATACCAAATTCCAAAATCTGCAATTCTAAGTGTTTTGACTGGTCTGACTTTGACCTCAATACTGAAATTTTTCATGAAACATTTATATAAGTGAAGCAATAATCATTGATTTAAAGATAATCCAAGATTAACTGTCTACAGCTACATTCTGCTATGACAGTTATTAAATACATGGCATAAACAATAGGTCAAAGCCAAATAAATGTTATTAAAGTAAATGTGATTATATTTACATTTATGTAATTTATTTTTACTTGCAAATTGGGCTTGCGAGTATTTTATATTTAAGCTGGTAATGAAATTGGGCTCGCGAGTATTTTATATTTAAGCTGATAATGAAATTAGGCTTGCAAGTATGTTATGCACAGTATTTAAAAAATAATGCAAGCTCTAATTTAACACAAGATGTGGAAAGTGTAGATTCGCCTGCATCTGTCGAGCTCATTCGTCATCTAGTTTCCATCTTTGCATTTCTTTTTCTTCTTTCCAAAGGATGGCTTTGTGTTTTCTTAGAACTCAATGAATGTCTTTTTTGCAGAATACGGCAGTTTTCACTGGACACTGCTGGACAACTTAATTGATGCAGGACTCTTGAAGAATGGGACCATTGGTTGGACCTAAAGCTGCACTTGTCAAACTTCCTCTCCAAACCTTTGCAAATGTGAAGCTGTGGTAGAGAAAGCTCATGACGAAGATCCAGTTTTGGAATGGTCTTCTAAGTTATGATGAAGATAACTATAGATTTTCTAATATATTCTTTATTGTAGCTGTGATTGGTCTTTGCCAAATGTCACATTCCAGAAACCCCATAGCATTTTGTATGCCTCTAGTCCTTTCCTAGGAGTTTTGAAATGAGGAATTGGAAGAAAGAGCTGCCAATTGATGACTTCTATAAAATTTTGACAGTGCATTGCTAAATTTGTTAAATCAAGCAAGCAATATAGTACGGCACAAAGAATTTGATTAAAACTCGAGGCATTGCCCCACAGCCGAAGGAACCTGCATTCGTTTTGACTGGTCGTAAATATTACATATTCTAAATGTGATTAGGCATTGAAGACTGAAATGGGAGAGAAAATGTTTGCCGTGTAGGTACCCGAATGGCCGCCTGGTTATGGAAGGTGCTTTGACTTCATTGCAATTGGTTTTAATTCAGAGTAAGTTGCATGCAAAGCTAGTATCTGGCTCTTGGACAAGTGCAAACGAACAAAGTACAAAGGACAAGTACAAAACTTCATTTGTTAGGGAAACTCTTAAGGGCATTGGGAAAATCTAAGAATAATGCCTAACGTAAGAGCTGTATAGGAGAGCATTGAAAGAAACTGGTGTGATGGCAAAGTTGATCATTCGGGTCAGGGTATTTTCTCATGATTTCTTTCAATTTGAACTTGATTTTTTTTTTATTCATCGCACATTATACATGGCAGGATAAAAGTTTATTTGAATTAATTTATATTTGTTAGCTTAAGCGCCAATTATATTGGGTTTTAACTAGTGCACTAAATTTAATTTGAGATTATTAAATTTAACGTATAAATTGGGCATTATATTTAGATATTGCAACCTGGTGGAACACCTCCAGAAGTACTGTACTCTCCTTGCTAGAGTTGATTTCTTAGTCCATACTAATATATTTATACTAATATATAATATATATAATATCAAATGAGTTCTATTCCTGTAATGATTAACCCTTTCACTGTGATGTCGATGTTTGGGCCTGGTAGCTACACCAATTTGGCAGTGATAAAGGAAATGTCATTTGAGGAGGTAGATCTAAATCTACAAGGAATAATTAGCTCCCATTCAAAACTTTTGCCGCCATTATGACGCCTTGGAGCCGGTCGGCCGAGCGGACAGCACGCTGGACTTGCGATCCTGTGGTCCTGGGTTCGATCCCGGGCGCCGGTGAGAAACAATGGGCAGAGTTTCTTTCACCCTATGCCCCTGTTACCTAGCAGTAAAATAGGTACCTGGGTGTTAGTCAGCTGTCACGGGCTCCTTCCTGGGGGTGGAGGCCTGATCGAGGACCGGGCCGCGGGGACACTAAAGCCCCGAAATCATCTCAAGATAACCTCCTTCATTACTCCTCATAGAAGACACAGGATAAATACAGCACTAATTTGTCATACTTTGCTGCCAATATCAGATCAGTATGAACATTACATTGATGGCAGACAGAAAAACTGCAATAGGATATCAACAATGGTTTCGATGGGCCCCAAAAAATGTTCATCAGGATAAATGGTAGTTACTTTGGTATAGAAGAAGTTACTACCCCTAAAAGGAGTTGAGTGCAAGATTAAAGTAGAGTCTTCAGGGAACAGAAAGATCTTGTCAAAGATCTATAAAAATTCTGACTTAATAGAGCAAATGTAGCAGCAGCCAGGACAATTATTAGTTAGATTGAGATGCCACATGATACTTGGAGTACTTGTGCTCTATTGTATAAAATACTAGTTCTGTGCTCGCATTGCTTTTGAAAGCAGGAAGATATAGTGTTTATAATATAAAGTTACTATGGCCACCATAAATTTTTTTAAAATTACTGCTTGGAATGGAAACAAGATAAATTACACAGTGGAGTCACAACAGTATGTATAGAAAGATGTATGGAAAAATCTTTGGAGCTGGACACTGGGATAGAACCAGTCTTGAGCGTCAACATCAAAGGCTTAAGACTTTTCAACACTACTTTCACTTTCAACACTCGAAAGGAGCATAACTGGATGGCCTCACAGTGTTCAAGAGAGAAATCTTCAAACCCCTGCAAAGAATACCTGATCAACCAGGCTATGATTGAGATGTCAGGCTGCAAGCAGCTGCGTCCATCAGCCTGGTTGATCAGACGACCAACCAGGAGGCGTGGTCTGGTTGATCAGACAACCAACCAGGTGTGGTCGGAGATCGTGGCCATTTTGGGCCCGATCCCTGGAAGCTGCACAAGGTAGCCACAGGGTAGGTAGGTAGCCCTGCCAATTTTTATATTACTGTTTCCCCGGCATTAAAGATGCATCCGAATTTTACAAGGATATTTTGAGGGGAAATGTATTGACACCAATACATTTTTCCACATACACTATTGATTTGACACCAATACATTGGTGTCAAATCAATGACACCAATTTCATGAGTATGTACTGTATCTTGCAGCACCAAATATTCTCCTTTTGACGACTGAAATAAGTGTTGGTAGAGAAGCTTCATGCCAGCTACCATCTTCACGTGCTCTCCTTGCTGTTTATTTTGTCTTGTAAAGAATCTTCAAATTTGCTAATCAAGAATTTTAACGACTTATAATGGTCCAGGACGGACTGAAACATCATTTCTTCATCTTCTGTTGTGTTGTTTGGTCGTCATAAATTTGAAATATAAATTTTATAATATAAATTTTATAAATATAAATATACAATTTCAAATTGTATAATTTTGCCTGTTGTCACTTGTTTGTTCTGTACACACTTGAGGTGGAAGGTCTTGGATATAGTGTGCAAATATTGACAGTTATCCAAGAAGGAAATTAGGATACTCAGGCTAACCTATTTAGTCTCTCGCATATTTCATCTACAGATCATCATAGTAGTAGTAGGCATCCTTCAGTCTCGGGAGACTATGGAGTTGCGTCCTAGTTGTCGATCCTAGTGCAGCGTCTGGTGTGATTGATGAGGCCAATCCGAGAGTGGCAGTCCATCCCACACTGAGCACAAACGAAATCCGATTCTGGTCTGTCTTCCTGGCTACTGGCTTTCCTTCTCTGTCTCTTTGCCTCAGATCATCATAATATTCTTTAAAATATGCTGTTTTTGTCACTAATATTACAACCCATCCTCTTGTTTAGTTAGTATTTTTTGTAACTGTGTGTGGACCATTGACATAACGGACAATTAGTGGAATTTAGTGCTATTCACTTTATAGCTTCAAACAAAACCTAATTATTCCTAGGCCTAGTATAGTACATAATATATTAGGCCTCAGATAGCATGTATTAGGCCTAGGATGGTTAGGGTTAGATTGTTTCATCAGGAATGTAAATACAAAACCTTTTCCGGTTTGTCCACATTCAATAGTACCAAATCCTAATTGTCCGTTACGTCAATATGTGTGATGATCAACATTGTTACTATAAGTACTATCTAGACAGGAGTATGGGTTATAATATTAATGCTTAGTTACACCTGCATTATTTTGGTATTCTTGCCTCGTCATTCATATTTTACTTCCCTACTGCATCTGAATACATTACTGTACTTGTAAAAAAATTGTATTTCTTATGGCTTAAACATTCTGCATACAGTATATTGCAGTGTTTGTATGTTTGGGGCTTAATCCTTGAAATTCACATACCATCCTGTGATGTATGAGCCATGGAAACATTTGCAATCTTTGAAACTCTCACAGGTTCCTAATCAGTTTTTTACGGCCTCCAGTAAACATCTGCCATCCTCAAACGTGAAATGATTTTTGGGACATTCTTGTTCTCAGGGCATGGTTTTTATCATTGCTGGAAGAGGGAGGGAGCCGGTCGGCCGAGCGGACAGCACGCTGGACTTGTGATCCTGTGGTCCTGGGGTCGATCCCGGGCGCCAGCGAGAAACAATGGGCAGTTTCTGTCACCGTATGCCTAGCAGTAAAATAGGTACCTGGGTGTTAGTCAGCTGTCACGGGCTGCTTCCTGGGGGTCGAGGCCTGGTCGAGGACCGGGCCGCGGGGACACTAATAAAGCCCCGAAATCATCTCACGATAACCTTAAGAAGACATAAACCTTGGGTTGAAGACCAATTTTTGTGAGTGCATACAGACTATGGGTGATGTAACCCACCTTTGCACAATGCCAGGGTTACTCGAGGTCAGTGGGTGTTAGTCTGGTATGAATAAATGAAATATTTTTAGTAAAAGCTATAGATTTTAGCTGTATTTTGACTCGTGATTTAAAGAATTAATATTGACATACGGTATGTTGTATTTTATGAGTAATAAACTGTACACTGCAGTGTTCTTCAAACTTTTCTCATGGCCCAAATAAGAATATTTTTTCTGCAACTCATACAAAAAATATTTTCAAGGTCTATAACCCCAAAATAAATTAGGAAATAGTTTTAATCTAAAATGAAATAATCATTATTAATTCGATTGTGAAATTTGATTAATCATTAATTTATATTGTTTTAATTAGATATATGCAGTAATACGAGTTTTTGTGTTTTTATATTAATTAGCAGCTACCTGGAGAATAATCCGCCACGACGTTGTTTCAAGAACACTGGAGTAATTAGCACCATGCGTAACCACTTGCTGACTCCTGTTAAGACCAAGTGCGGACACCTGACCTTTAAGCCCAAGCACTAATGCCTGCAATACTGTAAATTACCTGAATTTACCCGAAGGTCACCATCTCTCCAGTGGCCTCTACGGGGACAGGAGGCCAGTGGGTTGTCCTAAGTATACCCATCATGAAGCCTAATTGGTCAGTGGAAAAATTGGATTGACTTGTGAACTTTTAATTGACTGCTTGAGATTAAAGCCGAAACGGTCTACAGTTAAACTCCTCACACTGAAGACGTGTACTGTTGGATTAAATGGAAACTGTTATTTATTACAGTAATGTATAACTTTTGTTAGTCTGGTGACTTACATAATTGTCATGTGACAATTTTGAAGTGTCATCGACAATATTTGGAAGACAGGACACCATGAGTAGCTCTCATCCTGTAACTACATTTAGGTAATATAGGCAAGGTTGTTCTCTTCTGGGGCTTGTGAGGTTACAGGTAAGTCGTACGCTAACAGCCTCTGGGGTTACAAGGTCAGTCATACACTAGCACCCTCTGGGGGCTACAGGTTAGTCCTACGCTAACACCATCTGGGGGCTACAGGTCAATCATATGCTAACAGCCCATATCAGGGTATTATTTCCAAGTTGTATAACAATGGCTTTCTAACCCTTTTTCATGCCAGGCAGAACTACTGAATGCTAAAAATAGGAAATATTGTAGTATAAACTCCATATGGTGTCTCGGGGGTTTTTCTTTGCAAATCACATTCAGACTTAATACTTTAGCATTCCAATGACACACTTTAGCGTCATCCGTACTCCGATGGTAAACATCTTCTTTGTAATTTATCTGCCAAAAAAGTATGAAAGATGTTTTATTTTGTTTTCCTGTCATATAGATCAATAATGTTTGCACATTTCTAGCTTTTCCATTTTTATTTGTTGAAAAATGAGGAATGTTGAACTATGCATAATTTGAATATTCAACACTGCTGCACATAATTGATATTAAAACTCAAACTATATGGCATTTATGCTCCATTTGCAATCATTGATACCAAATTAGTAGTTATAACTCAAAACTAACAGCAAACGAGTAAAAAAAAAAAGTACAGACATTGAGAAAATCAGTAGGGAGCCGGTCGGTGGAGCGGACAGCACGCGGGACTTGTGATCCCGTGGTTCTGGGTTCGATCCCAGGCGCCGGCGAGAAACAATGGGCAGAGTTTCTTTCACCCTATGCCCCTGTTACCTAGCAGTAAAATAGGTACAGTACCTGGGTGTTAGTCAGCTGTCACTGGCTGCTTCCTGGGGGTGGAGGCCTGGTCGAGGACCGGGCCGCGGGGACACTAAAAAAAAAAAAAAAAAAAAAAAAAAAAAAAAAAAAAAAAAGCCCCGAAATCATCTCAAGATAACCTCAAGATGAGGACTCGAACCTGTGCCCTGGGAATTCCCAAGCATTCTGGGCATTGTACCTACAGTATATTGATTTTCTCATTGTGGCCTGGTCACAGACCGGGCTGCTGGGACCTTGACCCCCGGAATCACCGCAAGGCTGATACATCACATTAATGTGCTTTCTTTATTCAGTACAGACGTTTTTGGCATCCCTTAAGTGGGATCCTGCGATGACCGGAATGTTAACGGGCAGGACATTAAATTATTAGGATCAATTGGTACCTCTGGATATCCAGATAGTTAAATAAGACAATTTTTGTCCAGACACAAGCAAAAAAAATACTTGTAATGGGGTTCAATGGAAATAGTGTCAAATACTTCATATATACTGTATCTATTTTTGTATAATGGAGGTTTCACTATTCCTGGCATGTAACAATTGTATCCTGATCATCCTGGTGCATATAATTTTTTTTTTTTTTTACAATTTGTTGAAATATAGAGAGATGCCTAAATACCATTAAAAAGTGCATTTCAAAGTTATAAAATATTTTGACTTTGTATTTATCTGAATCACATGCCTGGATTATCCTGTCACCTTGTTCCAAACCTTGTCGTTTGTCGTATTTTTCACTTGTGTACAATAATATCATGCCATTTGGGTTTATTGAGTCAATTTTTAAAGTTGTGGGCATCGCCTCGATGTACTGTAATTTCTGGTTCATTACCATGGCAGCCAGATTTGGTGCTTACAGTTCAATGTTGGCACCAAAATCTCTTGAGTATAGTTTGTCTATACTGTATTCAGATAATTGAAGGCAGGAAACTATAGTAATTCTTTTAATACAGCATTTGCAGCTTACGATTTATTTCTCTCCATGGAACGCCAGTTTCCTATAGTAGCAAAGCTTGTTGTGCTTTGACCAACTGGAAAGCAGAAGAATGTGCTTATGAAGTTCCTCTTTTGCCTAAAGGTGGCACGTTTCACTCTGTGATAAGTTCTATATCACTGGCCTGTCTTCTTTGGTTTCACATACTGTTGGGAAATTGAGCAGAGCTGTCGACCTTTACTGTATAGTATGAATGACCTTGTTATGATGCAGTAAAATGACTAAATACTACCAGGAATTTTTCTTGTGTAGTCTTGAAATCCGTCCCTACAGTATTTCCAAATGTTGATTAAGATATATCTTGAGGGTTAATGCTTTAACTATATCTCTAGAGGAGTCTGTATGTATTTATACTGTGTATTGTTACCAGATATTTATAAAATAATGTAGTTTTGTTTTATAATGACTTATCACTTGACTTATAAGGTCTCCATTCCACAATGTCTCGGAAGCTAAGGAGCTGTCTGTAACACCAGCTACCAATTGTCAGTCTTGTGATAATTGCCTGTTGACGAGAGCTACATTGGCATCGGGGCCAACTAGAACCACTCTGCTCATTACTGGACAACTTGTGACACTTGGTTCTTCTTTTAGCATGTAGCTGAAAGAAAGAGCATTGTTTACGGTGCTAAACTAACAAGGCTAGAGTGGAGTGATAAGCCTGAAAGAAAGAGCATTGTTTACGGTGCTAAACTAACAAGGCTAGAGTGGAGTGATAAGCCTGAAAGAAAGAGCATTGTTTACGGTGCTAAACTAACAAGACTAGAGTGGAGTGATAAGCCTGAAAGAAAGAGCATTGTTTACGGTGCTAAACTAACAAGGCTAGAGTGGAGTGATAAGCCTGAAAGAAAGAGCATTGTTTACGGTGCTAAACTAACAAGGCTAGAGTGGAGTGATAAGCTGTATTTGTGTTGTGACTGGAAAGCATTTAAGGTTTGGTTGGATGGCCTGAATGACAGCAATTTCAGTGTAGCAGTATTATTGTCAGGCATATTCACTGTAAAAAATAACAGAAGCCCATTTGAATCTTGGAGTAGAAAAGGCTTCACCGAAGAGGATATAAATGTTAGTTCTTTTCTAGTGCTAGACTATCAATGTACTGTACTACAGTTCTTCCTGACCTTTAACACTTTGGCGTACCCCGCGCGCCACCCCTCAACTGTGCTATATGGGTCCCAGGGTGTCGGGGGAGCGCGCGTAAATTCTGAAAAGTGTATACTCTTTTCAACTTTGTCACCTTAATTCTCGTCCTACGAGATTAAATTTGGTATCATTGTGTTCGCAATAGAATTCTCTACAGCACTAAATGCATATAAACTCCAAAAGCCCGGCTAATTACCCGCAGCAAACAGAGAAAGTGCCAACGAGTTACCCGGGAGCGCGCAAACGGGATAAAATGTTTTCACTATTTTCACTCTGGTCACCTCAATTTTCGTCCTAGGTCTTTCATTTTGGTCTCAATGGGTTCGCAATAGAATTCTCTAGAGGAACATTGGCATATAAAATAAAAAACCTGGTCACGCTCCAACCGCTGACGAGTTGAAGACGGGCCACGCGTTAGCCGTGAGCGAGCGCTCAGACGCCTTCCAGCTACACTCCCAATTCCCGCCCTTTTCAAGCCTTTCTTTTGCAATTTTCTTCCTGGAAGGGCCTTGTTCATGATCACTATCCATCGTGGAGTAAGCGTAGATAGTTTCTAAAGCCACAGTAAGAAATATAGCCACGGAAAATAGCCGAAATGTTCACACGTTTGAGATGCGAGGGGAGGTGACATTGGTCACAACAGTGGAGCGAAAACAATGGGCCGACGGCGTGTGCCGAGCTGCCTGTGGGCCACGAGGTGCAACAAGGAAAATGGGAAGACATCGACGCGCATTTTAAAACCAGTCCCAAAAAAATCTGATAAAAACCTGATTTTTGGCGATTATTTAAAGTGGATGACGCAATGCTGCGTCATCCCCGGCATTACCGACAGTAAACGGATGACGCAATGCTGCGTCATGCCCGGGCAAAAGTGTTAAGCAAGATGGGCTGGACAGACAGGTAACTAATTAGTCATGGAGGTAGGTGGATGGCTCGTATGTCATCTTCCTGTTCCTCAACTCTTAACTCGTACAAATGTTTAACACCATTTGTAGGATGATGTAACATCATGAGCCTTAAATCGTTGCAAAAGCCATTGTATTTACTTGTTAATGCAATAATTTGTTGTATGAGCAAGCACCACTGCCTGTGCCACCTCTTGCCTTTCTACTTCATTACCAACCCTCTATAACCCCTTTCCCAGCTAAGGTGATCACGAACCTGTTCCAATCGTATCTGATGCTGTGGGTTACCGAGGATATGTCGGAGCTGCTTCTAGACAAGATTATCCTCCTCGAGGCACCACTGCTACAGACAAGCCACACATACACACAACCTACCCATATACCAGACATCCATATATGCTCATCCAGACACCCGTAGATGCTCACTCCCACACCCAGACACCCGTATATGCTCACTCCTACACCCAGGTGCTGACATTCTGATACTCACACCCATAGTCTAATTACTCCCACATCCACTTTTGGAACTCGTTCCTACTATCAACGCCCTCACACAGTTTCTCACACCTGCATACCAGTACCTATACTCAAACCACACCCATGTTCACACACACACAGGTGTTCAATCTTACACATAGACAATAGGAAAGATTCGTATTTAAATACAATTATTCTTTATCAGGGTTTTAAGGATAACCACTTTTTTTGGACACGACTGGTCCCGGTCCGTGTGTGTCCGGAAAGCACGTGGTTGTTTGTATATACATATATATATTTATACTTGGTACGCACTCTTTTTGATGGTTACTTTGTGACCTTAATGGTGTACTATTTTTGTGTACATCCTATGTCGACTCATAATCAGTAACCCATTTTGTTGTAAACTAGGCCTTTTATATGACTGCATATTAAAACTATTGTGATTAAATTCCAATTTTGATATCTGAATAACTTTAAGCAAATTATTTCATTTGAAATCTTTATTTTGCAGGTTGCAATGGCAGCTGGTCAAGTACTCTTCCAAAGGTTTTACTATGCAAAGTCGATGGTTAGGTACCCCATGGAGACTACTGCTATGGCATGCATTGCTCTGGCCTCCAAGATTGAAGAGGCACCTCGCAAGATAAGGGATGTCATCAATGTCTTCAATCATGTTAGACAAGTAAAGAATGGAAAGTAAGTAGCTTATTTACATTGTTTTGTATTTGCAAATTGTAGCAAAGTTTCAAGGCTTTAGTGTAAACGTTCAGTGATTGAAAGTGAATGTTGTTCGGTGCTTTTAGAGTAAAGTTATTATGGACCGTGTGTGGAGTTGAATGCTCGAAGCTTTGCCAGTACTGGAAATAAGTCATGGAAGCCGCTTGACTTATTTCATGTAATAGTAATGCAGTTAGAGAATGATGGGAAGATATGATGTAATTCTAGTCATCTACTAACAATGCTGTGATTACAGGACCATTCAACCTGTGATTCTAGACAGCAACTACATAGCCCTCAAGAATCAGATCATCAAAGCCGAGCGCCGACTTTTAAAAGAACTGGGATTCTGCTGTCACGTCAAGCACCCTCACAAGGTAAGAGACTGGTTTAAAACTGTGTATGTGCACTCCCAACCTATGCATTTCATCCTCTATGAATTCAACTTTTTTCTCTTTGATAAAACATGCAAATGTGGGAGAATATTGTCTTATTAATTGCTCTTGAGCAGCAAAATCATTTCACCACCTTGGAGGTGAAGTTGTATGTATAGCTTGGGTGAAGCAGTTATTGTAATATATCGTTGTTGATTATTGTGTGCCTTAAGGACTATACCGGTAATTAACAGTAAATGTGCATCACTAATACATGAAGTGCATAAGCGCACAATACAGTATGTGAGTGTGTGTACACACACTCTTATTACATGTATACAGTATTTATAGTCATGGCATGACATTAGGAAGAGGATAAGACAATACAGGCCAACTTGTACATAAAAGTTTGAGCACAGGTAGGCACAAATTGATGATCTGATACTAGATAACTTATGTGAAGCACACAACCAAATACAGTGTATATTAAATATGAGATACTTTTAATAAGCAATGAGAAGACTAGCTAAATGACCAGTTTCCACAGCAAAACAAATTATTTACTTTTTTTCATTCTTGCCATTTTACTAACACTAAAGGGGATCTAACTTCATTAATTCTGGCCTTATGTTTAAAATATTAATAAATTTTATTTAGTTTTATTCCACTACTTCCTGTCCATGTAGGAAGTACATGGAAATTACACATGGAAGTACACATACATTGCAGAGAAATCTTTTACGGTTCCAATCAATCAGATGATCATGATGCATAGAGTTACTAAATGTTTGAAGTATGAGACAACTTTGCTATGTTGTTCATAAATTGATGGGTTTGTGCTTTGATTACGAAATGGTCTTTTTTTGGTTTAAGGTGTTATCAATGAAATGTTGTGGATATTGTAGACTGGCGCCAATTCCATAAATTACTCAATTTGGTGAATACACTGAGAACTACTAACACTTAGTTGCAAGAAACATGGACTCTATAACTGATAGTTTAACATTTAAGTGGTAATTATAATGATATTGCTATAGGAACATGCATTAGTCAGCTTCTTATACACATATAAGACATATGTGTATAATTAGTGTGTATATATAAGACATATGTGTATAATTAATACACATATTAAGCTTTAACATTCTTCCTACTCTATAGACCTTGTATCTAAAATTGGTGGTTGTTTTAGATTCAGCTACTTTGAACAAAAGTTCCAAGTAGCAATCTATACCACAGCCCGTGCTACTTGGAACTTTTGTTCCAAGTAGCACAGGTTATGGTATAGATTCCTGTTCATTTCAAGAGTGACCTTAATAGATTGGATTAAATCGTTTATTCTAGACTAGAAATCGGCTAATACTTCAGAGATAAGCTAAATGCAAACAATAAAATAACTATATTATTTACCATTCAAGGGGTTTATTAATATACTTAAATGTTCAAGAAATCCACGAACAAATTTCTAAATACTGGAGATAATGGATTACTTGTTATTCTAACTTTTGGCATAAAATTTCCCATTGACAGTGAAAGTATTATCCTTAGTGCATAAAAGTGCAGTACAGCATAAACAGGTGTAAGTTTCAGGGAATGGTCAGACAGTGGGCCGTGGGAATGTCGATCCTGAGCTAATCCAAGGTATGGAGGCCCATTGCTAACATTGTACTCGTCTGTACTGGAAAATATTAAGAGGGGCTGATCCCAAGTATGCACACAGAAATAACATCACTTGAGACCAGGCTGTGTATATTACCCCCCATTGAAAAGCAGAGGTGCAATAGGTACTCTGAGAGAAAATGCTTATTCACATCAGAAGCCTGAAAGACTTGAACATGCTTCCACTACACACTAGGGGCATAACTGACCGACCCCTCACAGTGTTCAAGAGAACTCGATAAACACCTTCAAAGGATCCCTGGTCAACCGGGCTGTGGTTCATTCATCAGGCTGCGAGCAGCTGCATCCGACAGCCTGGTTGAACAGATCATCAACCAGGAGGCCTGGTCAGAGACCTGGCTGTGGAAATCTTGACCCCTGAAATCAATGCAAGGTAACCCCACGCCTTCAGAGCAATTTGGACTAGAGTCGAGTCCTGACTAGGGAGAATGGGCTAGGAACCAATCCTTCACTGCCTCTTGTCACCCAGTAGTAATTGGGTACTTGGTTTTTACCAATTGGCAGATTGTGTTCCATTGTGTAGCTTACCATGAGCTATGGGAAGGGAAAGCTCTCAGCCTGCTAACAGAAGTCAGAAGTTGTCTGCTCCTGTACCCACCTGTGTAGAAAGATCAAATGAGAATAGAACCAGTGAAGAGCAAGGGTGCCATAGGCACAATAAGAGAACACTATAAACATCAGAGGTACACGGTTGTTCTACATCCTCCCAGCGAGCATAAGAAATATTGCCGAAACAACCGTGGACATCTTCAAGAGAAAAGTAGATCATTTTCTCAAAGGAGTGCCGGACCAACCGGGCTGTGGTGGATATGTGGACCTACGGGGTGCTGCAAGCAACAGCCTGATGGACCACATCAGAGGTACACGGTTGTTCAACATCCTCCCAGCGAGCATAAGAAATATTGCCGAAACAACCGTGGACATCTTCAAGAGAAAAGTAGATCATTTTCTCAAAGGAGTGCCGGACCAACCGGGCTGTGGTGGATATGTGGACCTACGGGGTGCTGCAAGCAACAGCCTGATGGACCAAACACACTCAAGTCAAGCCTGGCCTCGGGCCGGGCTTGGGGAATAGAACTACTCCCAGAACCCCATCAACCAGGTATCAACCAGATATGGATAGTGAATCATATTGTGCAAGAGAGTTGGGGGGTATGGTTGGTAAGGACTAAGAACCAATATGAAGTAATTGAGAATAAAGGGGCAAGCCAATATGACTGTTACACTTGGAAGGGATATGAGAATGGAGTGAAGGAACATCAGTTTATTTAAAACTTAAGTAGGACAAATGAGAAACCTGTTTTTGTAACTTGAGTGTCCATAATGGTAACGTGTGTATTGTCCTTGAATTATATCCAGGCAGTAGTGCGTCCATGCTTGGATTATGCCATTGAATTCAGGTCACCATATTTCAGTTTTATATTACAGAATGCATATATTTTCTCAAGATTTCACAAAGCATGGCAAAGTTAAACCTTAATATATTGAGTATCTTAAGACAGGGTTAGGTAAACCAGTTGTTTACATGAAAAGTACAGTAATATATATATAATATTACATGTATATTGTGAAGGTTATACCAGCTGTAGTGGATATAACCTCCATTCATAGCTACAAAAGCAAGTGTACAATTCTAGAAATACCAGTTAAATAGCTGAGGCAGGGCTCTAGAGCTGAATCTTGCATGAATCTCACCTTTAGACACAAATGGGTAAGCACTCAATACAGTATCCTTTGCTCACTCTCTCCACCCTGTTCTTATCCAGGGATATGCAAGCCTGAGAGAGTTGTTGCTATATTCTTAATCAAGTGAAGTGTCTTATGGTGTACTATATTATGTGCTATGAATGTGAAAAGAAAATGTATATACATTATACTGTTTACGCCCGGCACTGATTTTTATAGGGCTTGTCCGCATTCGAGTTGCCCAATCTTTCGAAATATCTGAATTTCTTACTAGGAATGTCCCAAAAGTAATAAATTGAACATATTGTGTACCATAACCCTGTTACTCCTGCTGTTTACAAAAAGCAGTGAACACATTCATTTGGATTACTGAGCATTTAGTGTATTTGGTAGGACAAAACTCATTAAGGATGAGAAAATGAATCTTGCAAATATTTTTTGGTGTTAACTCCTAGGTTACAGGGATAGTAATTTTGGTGGGCAGGATACAGCAGTCAGGTTATGACGTGTTACATCATACCAAAGTCATCAAGACTTTGAAGCTCAAAGTACTGAAAACTTATATTTTCTCGAGTTGGATTATATCAGGGGGAGTAACTTGTAAAAACCATGTTTTAGTTTTAACAAAATGTAAGTACCGTAGGTACTTTTGTGCAAGTAGTAGTCAAGTATTATAACTTTTTCTGTACAATCCTTCCTATGTAACATGTAAATTATTAGTCACATTGTACATATAAGCACTTGCACATTTGGGAAGTGACACTAAAATTGGGGTTTTAAGAATGACCGAGTCTCTAGACCAATACAGAGCCAGAGTCGGTCGACTTAGCGGACAGCACGCTGGACTTGTAATCCTGTGGTCCCAGGTTCAATCCCGGGTGCCGGCGAGAAACAATGGGCAGAGTTTCTTTCACCCTATGCCCCTGTTACCTAGCAGTAAAATAGTTACCTGGGTGTTAGTCAGCTGTCACGGGCTGCTTTCTGGGGGTGGAGGCCTGGTCGAGGACCGGGCTGCGGGGACACTAAAGCCCCGAAATCATCTCAAGATAACCTACAGTACTATCAGAATTTTTAATTAGAGAGAAAACAAAAACCTGCAGTCTAAAACTAAAAACTTTTAATATCAAAAATATTTGCAATTTTATTTGTATTTTTTAATGTTGGTTTTCATACTACTGTATTACTTTTATTAATCCGTGATAATCTGAAGATTTCTGCATTAGTAAATTTAAAATATTACTACTTGTTTATGCTCATTAATTTTTTCTTTATTTATTTTTAATGATTGAATTTCCATGACACAATTTCTTCTTGTAGATCATTATCATGTACCTGCGTCTGCTGGAGGTGGATGAGAACCGGCGGCTGGCCCAGTCTTCATGGTGAGTGTCTTGTATTGCAGTATTACTGGCAGCTCCATCTTTCTCACCACTCCCTGCCTTATACACCTCTCTCTCTTTGCTCTCACTTCCCCGTGCTAAATCTCTCAATGTTTCTAGCTTGTATCCTTTTGTTTCTAGCTTTTGTTCTTATTACCAAGATTAAAAAAAAGTTCCTATTTCAAATTTTTGCTTCAAATTTTCATTTTTATAAGCATTAAACCACGACTCGGCTAATACCTGCCCAGTTAGCGTTTTTGTTATGTAGTAAGATATGTGAAAGTAGTGGTACTTATTTGGTGTTAATTTTGAGTGACTTAGACCATTAGGGTTTTCTTATGTAATATCTTCTGACATGCTTGATGGAGCTACCAGTATCCCTTGTATTTTTTCCTTAATTTGTTTTCCAGTGGTTCGTGGTGTACATAAGGTGAAGATAGTGCAATTGTTGGTTGAGTAAATAGAATGTTGAATAAATAGGTAAGAGTAAGTTGTAAAGCACACGAGTTTTGTTAAGGAAGGACAATTTTGTAATACTGAATGACCACGCTGCTCGGTGATGATATTCACCGCCCGAATCTAATCATTATTATAATAATAGAACGATTTATAATTATGATGCCCGGGTATTTCTGTAAACCCGAGTGTGTTTTGAATTTGTCAATTTTGCCGTAGAGTACTATCTTCACCTAAGGGTTACTCTACCTTGTGCTTGACTTCACCTGAACCTGGTGTTCATGCCATGCATGGCAACCACAGAAGAACTAATAGATTTTTGCCAGATAAGGAGTCACAATTGGCTCCGCACATGTTGAAAGATATATTATAGAATTGCCTCTTCTTATGACAGCTATGGCACATGAATAAAATATTGGTTTGTGTATATATATAAAGAGTTGCAATATTATTGCTCTAGTTTTTCACTGCATCATTCACTAGATTTTAATAAACAAACCTTTAAAGGGGAGGTAAATGTGTTGTCCCGAGTCGAGACAATTATTATAATTTTCTTTCACACTTGGTCGTGCTGTTATTATTCAGACATGTTAATTTGGCTTTAGTTTAGGATCTTGAGAAAGTAGTTATATGAATCACACCTCAATCATTCAGATTGTGTTCCTAAGGTTTTCATTATTTTTTAGAAAAGATATCAATTGGATTAGTGTCATTTTTGTGACAAGTAAGGCTGAGAGTTGATGGCTCACTTTATAATACCAGGCACAAGAAATATAATGGTTACATTAAAGTCTTCCTCTTTAAAGATTTATGATGCAGTGGTTTTTTTGTTATTGTGTTTTTTATGAGGTACATACATTTTTCTTTTTTGAATGTGATTAAGTGATTTGTGTATGGGTGTTAATTTCAAGTTCATGTAGTTGTTTACTGAAAGGCTAATATCTAGGTTAAAGACATTTTATTTCAGGAATAATCAACGATTCTTAATTTGTTGGTCAAATTGCATACAAGTGAAATTGTATGATTACCAGATGAGGTGCTAATTACTCAAAAAGATGTATTGATTGCACAATATTAATGTAAGGTTTTGTTCCATCTCAGAGGAAGGTGGGGCAAGGTAAGTAGTGTTGGTGAGGCCAGCACTGCCCCTGCGCCCTCCATCATCACCACCACCACCACCACCACAACAACCTTGACCTTCAGCTCCACCACCACCACCACCTTCCCCTCTGCTAGCGTGGCTGGCATGTGACGCGTAGTCTGGCTGGGCCCCTGTCACTCTGGGCTCCCCTTCGGTCGTGTGTGGTGGCGCCGTGGGTGGTGTCTGCCAGGGTACCTCTGACAGGCAGAGTTGACTCCCCAGCAACTCCCTCTTAGGCTCTGCAGAAAGTGCCTACCTGGCCTCCAGCTACCACACACAGCGGCTCATTGACTTTTTGTGTAGCTCCAGCCATTACTTGTGAATGTAATATTTCAGTAGTAAAGTCATAGTCATGAAGTGATAACTATTAGCATCAAGGTGTTAAACAATCACTGACAAACGTATATTTTTCTCAGTACTTTAAAAGAAGGTGCTTTCAAATACTAATTAAAAACTGAAGGAATTGTCAAAACATTTAAAAAGCGTCAATTTGTTTTAGGTAATAGTATCCTCTGGCTGATAATTTTGCAGGGATTGCATGCAGATGGCTCTTGGACAAGAAATATTTCCCCAGAAGTGAAAAGTGCGTAATGTTGCTTTGCCTCTAAATAGTATGTCACTGGAGCTATATCAGAATATGGAAACTTGCATAACTTGAAATTTTCTTGGTAGTGGAAGTGGTGACAGTGGCTGTGCCAGCAGGACTGGTGAAGAGGAGGACTCTAGTGGTGCAGCGATGGGTTGGGGTGGAATTCCATGCACTAAACTCTCTTTGCAGGTGTTGAAATTCCACAGAATCAAAGGAGAGTGGAGCCAGCCAGCCTTGTGATCGTAACATGCAGCAGTAAAGCAAGGAGTGGGAAAAAGGAAATGGTGATGTGGAATGGAGATGTGAAGGGTCAGGTTGGACAGGTGGAGGATGGGCGGCCAGCACTGGGCTTCATCGCGTCTTCAGGGTCTTTTGTTCTCACTGTTTTCTGGTTTGTATTTCCTCTTCAAGGAAATGGCCATGGAAGATGTACTTAGAGGAAGGGTAAAGTGTTGTAGTGAAGTCTTCATGTGACTATAATTTGAGCAGCCTCACTGCATAGTTTCACTGTGCCTGGTAGCCATCAACTACTCGTGCCTCTAGGAGGCGACATATCCCCCCCAGCATGTTGTCTTTCTTCAACAGGAACTACATGAATGATGCCCTACGGACCGATGTGTTTGTTCGCTACAATCCTGAAACGATTGCCTGTGCCTGTATCTGGCTTGCTGCTAGGTTATTGAAGGTGTCCTTGCCTGAGCAACCTCCTTGGTACTTGGTGTTAAGAGTATCTCAAGAGGGCATTGAAGATGTAGCAGCTTCTATACTTAGACTCTATACTAGGAAAAAGGCAAGTATATATATTTATATGTATAATACAATATTTGGATTTATGCATTTTTGTCAATTTATTATCCAATATTGATTAGAATATTGGCCACCTGTCTCTGTGAATACTTTATAAAAGTTAGATTTTAAAGATTTTAGTTATTATCCAAAGGAGATATGGGCAGTTTTAACTGTTGATATTGCATTTAATATACACAACTTCCTTTTCTGTATATCTAATGTATTGAAATTGAGCACAGTCATAAGCTGTGATGGGTTAAAGGAATAATTGAAATGTTTATTACAGGTTAAACTAGAAGTCTTGGAAACCAAAGTTGAAGAGATCCGCAGGGAGCAACAAGAGGCAAGGTTACGCAGCAAAGCTGTGGCATCATTGACAACTCCGCTGACAAACACACACTTCAGTCCTGTATCCCATAATAATTCTCCAAACAAAACTTCGTCACCAGGGCGTAAACGTTCTTCTTCTCCAGACAGGTAAATCTTAGGAATGATTCCTCTACCCCTTTTTCTTAATTCATATCCCCAACCATAATTTTACATCTTTATTCAGTCATTTATTCACATTTAAATCTGTGGAGCCCTATAACTTAATGCAGTATTCTTCCTAAGACCATGTAGTGCCTATGTCATGTTTGTGATAAGTTGACTGTACAATATTATTTCTTAGTAATTTATATTTACCAAGCCATTTGCAGTGCAATAGCATTAAAACGGTGCAAATTTATACAATAGTCTATATGGATCAAGGTTTTAAAGCCAAGTACATTGTTGCAATGCAGCGTGCACAATATTTTGGGATAATCATAACTGACACACCAATGGAGCTTGGTAGACCCTAAGACCTAGAGGGACCTTATGGTCGGGGGAACCACACTTGCTAGTGTCCTGCAGGATTCCATATTAATTAAAGTCACTAATCACACAACATTTCTAAGGCTTTTTATTGTTTCTAACATTATTAAAACATTACTTCTCCTCTTTTTATATAAGATGGGATAGCTTAAAAAGGTTTATCTAGCCAATAGCATAACATTATCTAGCTTGCCAATCAGTGGCGATGGGAAAGAGCTCTAGCTCTAGGCCCTGCCACCTAGCCATTTATACCTGGCGCACTACTTTTATCTCTCAACGTTGATCGTATTTTTGTTTTGACGTTGAGGATGGAAGTGACTTTCCACTTGTTGACCATCCATGCATGGAATGACACTTCCTTACATCTGTCCAGTTTTCATTGATGTCCTTTTGCCCTGCCTCCTCTCAAGTTAAGGGCACCTAACTATTTTTATGGAAAATACATCATCATCAGAATAAATACAGGTCATTAGAAAATAAGATCAAAAATTATATAATTGACAGTTATGGTTGGTATATGGGGCTGCATTTTTGGTGGGAAAATTCAAATCTCAAAATGCAGTTTTGTTTCTAATACTCCTCCATTAGTTATCCAATTTTTATGAAATATTAGCATTACACAAATCATAGGCAACTATGTTTATAAATATTTGGAAATTTTTTATTTTATTATGCAATATATATATTTTTTATAATTTTAAAAAAGATTAATACACTAGGAAATCACAATAGCATGATATATATTTATGAAATGATTGGAGCCAGATGGGGGATCAGACCAGTGTCGTGTCTTGCCCAGAGATGCACGTCTTAACCCATTGGATCACGATATACTAAAAGTAATTTAACCTGGGATCTGCCCAAATCCACCTGGAGTCTTTGAGGCAACGAACTTACGACCAATCCAAGTTTTTACAAATGACGTGGGTAATTTGTAAGAGCTTGGATTGGCTACCAAGCTAGCTCTGTGCCTCAAGACTTCTAGTAGACTCGGGCAGATCCCATCTTAAATTACTTAATATCGTGGGTTGAATGGGTGAAGGTGCGTGTGGGGGTGACGCACCATGATGTTGGTTCGGTCTCCATTCTGCTTCGGTGATTTTTGTCAAAGTGCTTAATGATTTTTGTTTAATAGTTTTTTAATATAGAACTTTTTCTGTTGCTTTCAATAATACAAAAGAAATTACCTTGCCATAATATATATTTAATAGTAATTATTCGTGTGTTTTAAAAGGCAGAATTTGAAAGAAATACAGTATGAACTAAAAGTATGTTCAAGAGTATGAATAGTTTGGTGCCCCTAAATAGTGTGCCCTTGTCCTCATTGTCTATTTCTCTTAATATTGTATTGTCGTGATCATGTCCTTTTCCTTATCTTTTTTTCTTCTCTGTGAGGTTGAGTTTCCTTTGTGTCCTCATAGCTGAACACACTGTTATGGTACCAATTTAGGTGCGAACCTTGATACTTATGTTTCTTTTTGTGCTTCACGAGGTGTGGGTTTCATGCCGGTGCTGCATATTCCAGTAATGAACTCGTATAGGCAGTGTATTTAGGCATAAAAATAGGCAAGGAAGCATGGGCCTCATTGTTTAGAATCTTAAATGCTTTTCTAATGCAGGCGATGAGTCACAATAACGTGGTTAAAGTATGTTGACCAGACACACACTAGAAGGTGAAGGGACGATGACGTTTCGGTCCGTCCTGGACCATTCTCAAGTCGATTGTGAGAATAGTTGCCAGCTTCCCATATACCACTTAATGTTGACATGAATGCCTGTGAGTGCTGGGATTATATTAACTCCCAGGTCTTTTTCTATTATTATTTCTTGTAATCATATTTTCCTTGTAGTGTGGTTACTTATAGATCTCTCATCTCCTGTATACATCTTCATTACTTTACACTTGTTTGGATTCAATTCCAGCAGTCATCTGTCCTCTTGTGTGCAGTTTAACCAACTCTGTCTTGGTCTTCATGTAGCACCTGATAATCCTACTCGGTTCTTACTCATCCATTAACTTTGCATCATCTGCAAACTTGGACATGTATGCCATACATGCTCCCAGCCTGATGTGTACTCCCTTGGCCATGGCCTTTGTTTCCTATTTGTTTTTCTGTCGTGGGTAATTTGTTTTTTTGTGAGGAAATGTCAAAAGCTTTCTGGCAGTTCAGGAAGAGGCAATCAACTCTTCCTCCAGTCTCCTGTCCTTATTTTGGGGACAGTTAAAGAATTTAATGAAGTTTATTTGCCATTATTTTTCCTTTCTGAACCTGTTGTGCCTCTATATAGGGTGCTTGAGAGTGATACTGGTCTATAGGTCAGTACTTCATATTTATCCCATTGAATATTAGAACCTCATTCTCCTGTTCCAGATGTTCATAAACTCCCTTCTCTCCAGTGTTATGTTATTGATCTAGATTATTGGCAAGAAAAAATCTCTGTAGCTAACTTGTGTAACAGTGGTAATATGTTCTATTCTACTGCTTTTTGTCACATTCCGTTTTCAAGGTATCTTTTTACCTATTTTTGCCATCCATCAACCCTGGGCCAGTCAGTCTTGAGGTCTATGCACAGATATTAAAATAAAATCCTTGCATGCCAGTCTGACTCTGGTTTATAAACACGTAGTAACCACTTGTTGAGTTCTTTACACAATTTCATTCTCCAGGAGTCTTCTGGTTCCTGCTGTCTGATGACACATTTTTCTGCTGTACTGTTGTGTTTTCCCTGTGTATGAGTGCCAAGGGAACTGTATGTTGCTTTTGCTGCAATGTCACATTTAAACTGGTGCTCCACTGCCTTTCTGGCTGTCTTTAATTCCTCCCTATTGGCCTCTGTACCTCTGGCCATGCTTTACCCATGCCCTTTATTTTTTCCCTTTTCCCTTTCCTTGTTACTTTGTTGAACCATGAGTTTGCATATTTTTTTATTTTTTTCATCCTTTTTTATTTTTTTCATCCACTTCTCTCCTAAGAAGTATGAACTGTTCGTTGGTTCTACTTATTTTCGTGTTACGAATTCCATCATCTTATTTGCTGACTTTCCTTCTATTTCAGTCTCCCATTGAACATCTTGCAGGTAAGCCCTCCTCTGGTCCCGACTTCTATATTCTCTTGTTCTTGATCTGGTTTCACGATGCAAGACTCCCTCTTTCAATTCTAAAATTTAACCCTTAAAGTGCGGCTATCATAAAATTTGCCACCCACCCTGTGAGCAATCAAATAGATTATTATTGTACTTGTTTTCTATTGTGAAAGGGTAGATCTGTATTTAAAAGTATGAAAAATGAACACAAAGTCGTATACCTGTCCTCATTTTGGCTTGGGTGGTGATGAACATTACTATTGGCATTTGGTTGTGATGGTAGCTAAGACCAAACGAAAATTATTTTTGCTTATTTATCATGTGAAATATTTTCAGGAATGAAGAAGCTATGCAAACAAAATTTATACTATGTAATGTTAATATAAGTCTTTGATAATTGCTGTAATCATTATAAGATGGATATCAGGAGCTGAAGTCTGACTCCCATGACTGTTGGTGGGCACCATTGGATTATTGGAACCATATAATTCTTCAGACAATAGTAGGCATCCATTAGTCTCGGGAGACTATGGAGTTGTGCTCTGGGTGTCGGTCTGGAGCGGCCTCTCCAGGGTGCAAAGTCAGGGTAGGTTGATACGTAGAAGACAATACATAAATACTATGGTGATGACAGCATTGCACTAAGCAACATACTAAGAACTATTATTTTTCTTTGTGACCCTGAATGGTCTTCTTTCCTCTCTTCCCTCGTGAATTTTCTCAACGCTCTACGTTAAGATTTAACCCTCTGCTGTCGAGGTGATGACTTGCCTTTCCTTCAAAGATGGTTTCAACTTACAATTGATGCAGTGTCGTCCTGGGCCACCAATCACATTGCTTCAAGTTCTCTACAATTAGGACTTGTGCCATGACTTTTATTAGGAAGCAGATTGTTTTTCATCCCATTTTGTCGCTCTATGGTACTCCTCTTCTGCATTAAGATCCTGCTAAACCTTTGGGGGTTTAGCATTGACACTGTTGTCTTGGTTGCCTCATATCTCTTACCTCCGAGTTAAATGTTCCAAGGCCTTAACTTATTTAGTTCTGTTTCGTACTTTCTGGGGAGCTGATAGATGCACGCTCCTCTATTTTCATTCCTCTCTCGTGTTGTCTAAACTCGATTATGGCTGTACTGCTTACTCATCTACCTCTCCTTGAACTCTTCGTTGTCATGATGCTCTGTACCATACGGGGTTACGCCTCAACTATGGAGCCTTTCCATCCCCGTCTCTGAACTTGTCTGTTGAAACCTCTGGCCTGTCTCTACAGTTCGTCGGGAAGGTTATTGGCTTCACTACTTTGCGCGGTCCCTATGAAATCTTCACTCTCGCTTCGTGGAGGGTCCCACTTTTAAAGTTTTGCTAAACCTTGACCCACATGGGAAAGGCTTCTACCCTTCCTCTACAGTTCTGATACTCCTTTTCTTCACACTCCATTGCTGTCTTTTCAGATGGGTCTAAGTCTGCCGATAGTGTAGGCTACTCGGTTGTCCTGCCTTACACACCAATGTGTGTTGCCTGTCCCCAGAGACTAGCATCTTCACAGAAGAACTTTATGCAATTTTGTATGGCCGTCATCAACTTTTCTCATTGTCGAGATTCCTTTGTCGTTGTAGTTGATTCTAGCAGGGTGCTAGAATCAACCATGGGTCTGGGGTCATTTAATCCTATGTGATCTAAATTCAACATTGGCTATTTTTTATATCTAGTAGATTTAAGACAGTAGAGTTTTGTTGGGTTCCCAGACATGTTGGCATCATCTTAGTGCCAGGATAGTCATTTAAGGATACTATCCACACTTGTCCTATTTCCCAGAAAGGCATTCATTAGTCAAATTTCTACCCAGTCATTTATTTTTCAATCTGTGCCCGTTGGTAGGGTCGTTGTTCTTCAGTTACCGGTTACAATCTGCGGGCTCTTAAGGGTAGTGTGTTCCCATGGCTTTTTCCTCCCACCGTAACCAGCGGTGGGAAACACCTGTCGACTTTACATATTGGCTTAATGGAGCACTGCCCTGCTCCTTATTGTCCAAACTGTATTGTCCCTCTTACGGTCACATTTCTCCTTATTGAATGTCTTGATTTTCAGGATGTTCATGTGTCTTGCTTAAAGCCTGTCCCTCGTGGTCATTTGTTCCTAGGTAGAATTCATGGTGAATCCAATGACTTTGATATCGCTCGCCTTGTACATTTTTGTTCTTGCATTGGCATTCGTAGTAATATTTAGGGTCTTTTGAATATTCTGTGCCTTTGATGGTGCTTCATCGTCTCCCCGGCTTGGTGCCTTTTTTTTTTTTGATAGATATTATGTGGCCATGTAAATAACTTTCCCGATTGTTTACATGCAGTTGGACCATATTTGGTTGTACAACTGATAGTTGATAACACTATCAGTAGGAAAGGTCAAATAAGGTTTAAATGATGGGCTTGTTGGCAGGACTTTATTCCAATTATGTACTGTGGATGATCTGTGTTTATGTACCATGTGTTTTGCAAAGTTATTAGAATACAGTAATAAAATTGCCATTCTGTTTTTCCAGAAATTCGGGAAGAAAACGAAGCGGAAGTAGTGGTAGCCGATCTAGAAGCCGGAGCCGTAGCCACTCGAGATCATCACACCGTCGCTCTCGCAAAAAGCAGCGCCGTGGCGATTCCCGATCCTCTCGTTCCCATTCCAGATCTCGATCAAGGTCCCGAACTCGATCACGGTCCCACTCCCGAGATAAACACAGAGGTAACAAAAAATATTCTCGGACTCCATCGCCAACCGTGACTCCGCCTCCACGTTTTACGAAGAACAAGTGAGTTTTACCCCATTTCTCGCTCTCTAATCATGGGTTTGACTAGACTTGGATTGACAATAATGGGAATTTGTGTGTTGATAGTTTACTTTTCATAAATTATTTGCTTTAAATTTTCAGAAAATTCATAAATGCTTTAATGGCTGGTGGTATGTGTCTAACAAAAATACATAAAATCTTTATAATGCCTAGTATTCTAAAAAAATTTAATTTTCTTTTGCAGAGACAAGGGGCTGATTGTTAGATCAAGATCCCGTTCTCACTCAAGGTCACCCCAGAGAAACTATGAAAAGTATGATAGATATGAGAAGTACGAAAAAGCGGAACGTTACTCCAAGGGTGGTGATAGATATGAAAAGAACGATAGATATGTGAGAGACGACAAAATGAACAAATACGAAAACAAAGAAAAGGTCGACAAGTATGCTAATAAGTATGGCAACAAGTTTGATAGATACGATGTTGATAAGAAGAAGTATGAGAGAGACGATAAAAAATATTATGACAATGGCTTTGGAAAGCCTCACAAAGCCAAGAAAAATGGACGCCACAGATCTAGGTCCCGAGATAGGCGGCGATAGTCTCTACAGAGTTGTGTGAACGTGGAGCAGCTCATGTTGGAGGTCAATAGAGAATGACTTCTCTTAAACGCCCAGGGATATTCAGATTACCTGAAACTTCACAAATTGAATTTTTGCATAACCCATACAAGTTTCTGTGTGTTATATTTTGAAGCCATACACAGTTTTGATGTACAAGAGACTTTATAAATGTATATATGTATATAGAGAAATATATATATGTTCAGTTCTGTACCAATCAGTTGGAATGAGCACCCTCCTACACCTGTATGAAAAAAATGACCTTAAAATCTAACTCTCCGTGACAAAAATTGGTATATTATTGAGCCAATAGAGGAGTAGTAGTAGTAGTCTGGAGGTGTTGATGTTTGCTCATATTGAGCAGCTGCAGGCAGTTGTATTGTAGGGAGATAGATGGTCAGTATAGCATATAAATTTGCCATTACTTGTATGCTGTAGATGAGGTCCTGTAGGTTCATCTCCATTTCCACTTTGTAATTGGATGTATTCAGTTACCTTAAGAGCTTTCTGAAAGTTGTAAGGTGGGACTAATAATTCCAAATGGTGTTTACCACGTGTATAGGAATTGTGCTCCTTGGCGTATTTCATTTGCAATAGTAATCTTGATAATCATTCCTAGATAAAATTAATGTTTCTTGAAAATAATTAAGGCAGTGACCTTTAGATCTAATTCGGTAAAATAGATTGAAATGGGTCTCTTCATATAGGAATTTTTGTTGCCAAGTAATTCAGCTGTGCACTACACTGTTGTGGAATATTTTGTTTGTGTAAGTGGTTGTTGAACGCAGTTTGTAATTTTATCACTAGGCAGAAAAACTTTCAGTGTATACAAATGACACAATTTACCCTACAACTTCGTGCAATTTAAATAAACTGATTGGAAGAGGATTGTTGGACTAAGACATACTCTGTTTCAAGGTTACTGCTCGTGAACTAAACTGAAACTAAACTAAACAAGCCAATTCCACTTTAATTTTCTCTAGGTTACATTTGCAAAACGTTTATCAATGGATGTAGTGTGGTTAAAGTTGGCCGTCAGGTGTGGGTTGTGAGGAAGTCTTTAAAAGTAACCTTGGAACAGATTGTGTGTTTTTCTACATTTTATATTTTAAGTAATTAAGGTGATAAATAAAAAAAATAGGTTACCAAAAATTTTAGAGTATGAAATATGTATTTTCTGATACTTGCTGAAATAAGTTTAACTTGGTTAAATAAACTGTGATGTGTATATATTATTAAAACTTTGCTAAGTACCACATAAATTTGTCTTAAAAAACATGTATATTCACACTCATGTAGTTGGAATATAAATTATTTTTTATAAACCATCTTTATTTACCATGTTAATAAAAGCAGAAATGTTTAGGTACACGAGTCAAACTGCAAAGATAATTGACCAGTGCCAGTAACTGTATTTAACATTGTTTCCTGTAAAATATCCATCCATTTTTTGGGTTTCACCTCGATGCTCTCAGGCTGGCGAGATTTGCATCAGGGCCTCTCCTCTTTGTTGACCAGACCACACACTAGAAGTTGAAGGGACGACGACGTTTCGGTCCGTCCTGGACCATTCTCAAAGTCAATTCTCTCCTCTCCTCTTTGTTGTTGGGAACATACCAAGGAAACTCGAGTTAGGTCTTTCAATTCAGCTGGGCTGTATGGGTCTCGAACCTTGGACCTCACGCGTGAGAGACCGATGCTTTATCAACCGCCACATTGTTTATTTCCACGGAAGTGTGGATGTTTGTTTATTGATTTAGGGCTGTTCAGGTCAGTGGACTGCCTGCATTTTGAGGACGGGCAGGTCTCGAAAGAAGATAAGTGTCGGTTGGGGGACGCATCCCAACAAAGGAGAATGTGGTTCTTGTGCCAGCATAGAATGTTTATGTAGCAGGGCTACTTCTCTGGAATCCATATGCAGGCGATGAGTCACAATAACGTGGCTGAAGTATGTTGACCAGACCACACTAGAAGTTGAAGGGACGACGACGTTTCGGTCCGTCCTGGACCATTCTCAAGTCGATTGTGTCGTTTAGTCGAAACGTCGTCGTCCCTTCAACTTCTAGTGTGTGGTCTGGTCAACTTCTCTGGAAAGTGGGGACCATTATTGGGATGATGTAACCCTTCCTGTGCCATCAGCTCTCCACACCTCGCTGCCTTTGGTGGTTTCCTATGGGGTCCAAGGTCTAACTTTAGTACACATTGATACCGAGCTCTACTCCACCTCGGACTTGTGTAACGTGGAGCAGACCTTGCACACAACTTTGGTTCCCCCTCTCCTAGGGTGAGAGTTGTTGCCTGTGGGCTCCTGATAACTGTAGGAACATTACTGTTATCAAGGTTAAAAATGTTCACTACACGGTCGACGTTCTTAATACTTTAAGAAATCGACTCAATTTTGCGAGATGCCACCAATGTGTGTATCAGTTTTTGTGGATAAAATATTCGTCAAAATGCAACGTGCTATAAGAACAGGTTGGTGGGGTAACTCGCGACGGGCCGACAGCCTTCCGAGGAAGGTTTGTGCACGTCCGGGCAGGCGCACAAGGGAGGAAGAGGTCTTTGCACTGGCATAGGAGAATGTATGATGCAGTAGGACCGCCCTGTTGAAAGAAGGTTTAGCAATGCTTTGGACAACACATTTTCCTCCAGTGTGCACCCAGTCACCCTCGCTGCCCTGCTTGGCGATATTCTGAGACCCAGCTTCCTTGTATTAGAAATCAAATAGTATCTGCTGGGATAGTAGGATGTCGTAATCACACTTGAACACTCATCATTATCTTGTACACTCCTATGTTCATGATTTGTTGGGTCACCAACAGTGTCAAATATTTGTCTTCCCAATTTTGATGAACCTGTCATCCTTTATGATTTCACATGCATATTCAGTTTGGCAGACTCGAATGTTGCCTTCTGTTCCAACCGGTTTGGCAAGGAATGATCCACTACGTGGATCTTTCTTTGATTTGGCTGCCCTCTCGAATAGTTTGGTCTATAGTTGCGGAATGCTGTATCCACAACCACTTGGGCTAGACGGTAGATTGACGGTCTCTCTTCATACAGGTCGGGGTTCAATCCCCGACCGTCCAAGTGGTTGGGCACCATTCCTTCCCCCCCCGTCCCATCCCAAATCCTTATCCTGATCCCTTCCCAGTGTTGTATAGTCGTAATGGCTTGGCGCTTTCTCCCTGATAATTCCACATTATGTATCTAATATTCAAACCTTTTGCCATTAAGTTGCTGTTATAAGTGATAAAATACAAAATTGAATTTGGTCTAGATGTCTTAGTCAGGAAGGGGCCGTTCCCTGTTGCAACATGGGGGCAGGAGAACGGTGCATCCATGTCCATGAATATTTAAATGTTCATTCTTGCAGACGCGAAAATGGACGTCACCAATGCACGATACATGAATACAACACTCGCTAGTATTAGTCAAACATTTGTCTCTCCTCCTCCACTGTCACATATGAGTATACATAACATCTCCCTAACCTTGGAATAGGACAATAGCTCACTACTAAACAATTCTAACAAGCATTACCAAAGACGGGAGACATCTCCCGTCACGCAGGGTGCAGTCGCACCTCCACAGATCTCCAGTATCACCTCTTGATACTGGTAATAGCTCAAAAGGGCCACCACTTACGGGCTATACATGCCCGTACCACCTTTTGGGTGGCTTAATCTTCACCAATCAATCATTACCAAACCCCCACACACTAGAAATTGAAGAGACGACGGCGTTTCGGTCCGTGCTGGACCATTACCAAGTCGAACGTTCAGCCATGTTATTGTGACTTCATCACCACGTGAATCTATAAAAGGATGGAGGACCATTCCAGCAGATTAAGGGAGGGGAGGGAGGGTGTTCCTAAGACAATGACTTGCCTCAAGTGCTTGTTGTGTGAATATTAAGGTAACAATTTTGGCCTAGCTAATTTTAATCTTGTGTAACAATTTTCTCAGTTAATTTTTAACATTGCAATTATGTTGTAATCTTTATTAGCAGATAATTACCATCTTGTCTAAATTATCTGTAATTAAATGTACCTCTCAAGTGAGCTAATTAAAATATATTGCAAGATTTAAATTAAGGCGGAAAAAAACGTGACTACCTAACATATAGTTCTTGCGCCTTGGCTAGTTCATGGAACACGCCAGGGGTGGCGGCTGCCTGTCTTGGAGGGTCAGGGGTGGTGGCTGCCTGTTTTGGAGGGTCAGGGGTGGTGGCTGCCTGTCTTGGAGGGTCAGGGTTGGCGGCTGCCTGTCTTGGAGGGTCAGGGGTGGTGGCTGCCTGTCTTGGAGGGTCAGGGGTGGTGGCTGCCTGTCTTGGAGGGTCAGGGGTGGTGGCTGCCTGTCTTGGAGGGTCAGGGGTGGTGGCTGCCTGTCTTGGAGGGTCAGGGGTTGTGGCTGCCTGTCTTGGAGGGCCAGGGGTGGTGGCTGCCTGTCTTGGAGGGCCAGGGGTGGTGGCTGCCCTGTCTTGGAGGGGGTCAGGGGTGCTGGCTGCCTGTCTTGGAGGGCCAGGGGTGGTGGCTGCCTGCCTTGGAGGGCCAGGGGTGGTGGCTACCTGCAGCTGGAGCAGCAGCACCAACAATACTAGGAAGTGCAGCCCGATAGGATTAGGCGAAGGAGCGGCAAGAGCCCCATCTGTCACACCATCACTGCGCACCACCACGAAGCCCTCAAATGCCACCAATGGACGAGTACCATCACACAACAGAGTCCCTCTCCATACCCTATTCTATACGATCATCACAAAGTATATACCAAGATCTAACAATGTGTTCAGCTGTCATCCCCCATCTCACAGGGTGTTTAGTCAAGGAACCAGGGAAAAACAGGAGGAAATCATGTTTTAGTACACACTACTAAAGTACAAAGTAGTACGTACTACCAGTCCGTACTAGATATGTATGGAAATTCTCACACCCCGTAGGGAAGTGGAAAGCAGTGGAGAACGAGGTCGTCGAAGTCAATTCCGTCGACAATTTTAAGAGGTAATTAGAAAGGGGGACGTGAAAAGTGGTTCCTGGCCCTCGTCTTTAGTGCCTGGTAGGTGGACCAGCGCGGGTCCCATTGTCCAAGCCACTTGGGACGGGACCTGTGGCTGCCCTGAGTGGCCGTCTCTGGTCGATAGTGGTAGCACAGGTACTGACTCCCGCCCCTCCCCCATCAGATATTACGGTAATGACTCTCGCAGCTCTGGCTCACTACGGTGTCTCCAGGGGTCATGTCTCACTACGGTGTCTCCAGGGGTCACGTCTCACTATGTTGTCTCCAGGGGTCATGTCTCACTACGGTGTGTCCAGGGGTCATGTCTCACTATGTTATCTCCAGGGGTCATGTCTCACTACGGTGTCTCCAGGGGTCATGTCTCACTACGGTGTCTCCAGGGGTCATGTCTCACTATGGTGTCTCCAGGGGTCATGTCTCACTACGGTGTCTCCAGGGGTCATGTCTCACTACGGTGTCTCCAGGGGTCATGTCTCACTACGGTGTCTCCAGGGGGTCATGTCTCACTACGGTGTGTCCAGGGGTCATGTCTCACTACGGTGTCTCCAGGGGTCATGTCTCACTACGGTGTCTCCAGGGGTCATGTCTCACTATGGTGTCTCCAGGGGTCATGTCTCACTACGGTGTCTCCAGGGGTCATGTCTCACTACGGTGTCTCCAGGGGTCATGTCTCACTACGGTGTCTCCAGGGGTCATGTCTCACTATGGTGTCTCCAGGGGTCATGTCTCACTACGGTGTCTCCAGGGGTCATGTCTCACTACGGTGTCTCCAGGGGTCATGTCTCACTATGGTGTCTCCAGGGGTCATGTCTCACTACGGTGTCTCCAGGGGTCATGTCTCACTACGGTGTCTCCAGGGGTCATGTCTCACTACGGTGTCTCCAGGGGTCATGTCTCACTACGGTGTCTCCAGGGGTCATGTCTCACTATGGTGTCTCCAGGGGTCATGTCTCACTATGGTGTCATGTCTCACTACGGTGTCTCCAGGGGTCATGTCTCACTACGGTGTCTCCAGGGGTCATGTCTCACTACGGTGTCTCCAGGGGTCATGTCTCACTACGGTGTCTCCAGGGGTCATGTCTCACTACAGTGTCTCCAGGGGTCATGTCTCACTACGGTGTCTCCAGGGGTCATGTCTCACTACGGTGTCTCCAGGGGAGGGTCATATCTCACTACGGTGTCTCCAGAGCAGGGTCATGTCCCAGATCCTTGTCCTCATGTCCCTTTCAGGTGCTATATATATAGCCTACGTTTGAAACAATCCTGCAATTTCATAATCCTTTTATATTACCTGGTAGTTTCTTGCATATATCTACAACCTTATTCCCGAACTTATAATAATCAATTTTTTTTCTGACTAAACTTATAAATTTGTGTACAAATTTCGTGTTCTATTGAATTATCAAAATCGTTGTCACATTACCTTAGGTTAACCGGTTTTTCCCACACTGATGGTGCTAAATTATAGGTGTTAAACCTATACAATCGCTGGGCAGCTCTTAGGCCTTCAATGGTTACTACAACCATTGAAATTGAAATTGAAATAAGTTTATTGAGGTAAAATACGCACAAAGGTATGAGGTAACTCAATCTAGTCTCACCCTGTTACTACAACCATTATAGTAGTGACATGAGTCAGTAACCAGTGAGACATGAGCCTCAATGGTTACTTCAACTGGTCGCCAAATTATCAAATCCACCAGAAACATTCTCAATCAGAAAACTCTTAGAGTAATGCTAGTGGGTTTCCCGCCCCCTCAGTTTTAGAAAACGGCGCCTCCCCATTGGTCACCCACGTTGATATAATCCGTTATCTCTCTTCTGATTCGAGGAAATAAACCACCATTTCTCCCTCTGCACAAGTCCTCATATTAATGGCGGAAAATCCTCCCGTTTACCTGCTTGCTTGTTTAAGTTAGCTTTATAAAGAAGGAGCCAGTGATAGACAAATTTGTATAGAAAGTAGAGTAGCCTAGCTTATTAATTTCTGGTTAAAATTACCACCAGTAGGATTTCCGGTCAAAAATGACTATAAAATTCCCGTAGTCGGGGACAGGAAGCCTTCTCCAAGTCACAGCCCCGTTCCTGTGCCAGATAAGTCCACTACGGGTTCACCATAGCCCGTGCTACTTGCAACCTTTTGATCCGAGTTGCTGAATCTAAAACAACATTAACAGCCTTCTCCAAGTTGCAACAGTTTCTTAACTCCCGGCTACCTATTTATCGCAAGGTGAAAAAAAGATACATTAAGTATAAGGAAACATGCCCAACCATATCAGTCCTTCCCGGGAGTCGAACTCTGGATCTGTGGTTGTAAGTGGAGAACGAAGCCAACATATTACATTGAGTCAGAGAAACACTAGTAATTGACACCTTGGTATTCCATGAGGTAACATTACTTTTACCAAAACTTTCCTCCCGGGCAAATGTAATTTTACTAAGAGCTCTCTTCAAAGTTTTGTAGTAATAGCGACATACTTTTGGTATTATACTGTACACTGAGCCAGCCACTTTCCAGAATAACCCAACTGTCAACACCGTTATAAATCGATGACAACAAACAACTTTCTTGCCATTTCACCTCAACAACAAAAACTTTGAGCATTAGACATAGTGTGACGTCAAACACGTAATCAAGCCAAGCGGACCAGTCCACAGGATCGACCCCACACCAGCACACAGGATTGATCACACCAGTACACACAACGACGACTCCTGTGGAATGTGGGTGTAGAAGCGGGTGTATATTGGGGCAGTGTTTCGTGTCGTGGAGCCAGTGTTGTGCTGGACGCCGTGCGGGGAGGGTGTATACTAGTGACGCTCTCCAGCACATACACGACGACTCCTGTGGAATGTGGGTGTAGAAGCGGGTGTATATTGGGGCAGTGTTTCGTGTCGTGGAGCCAGTGTTGTGCTGGACGTCGTGCGGGGAGGGTGTATACTAGTGACGCTCTCCAGCACATACACGACGACTCCTGTGGAATGTGGGTGTAGAAGCGGGTGTATATTGGGGCAGTGTTTCGTGTCGTGGAGCCAGTGTTGCGCTGGACGCCGTGCGGGGAGGGTATATACTAGTGACGCTCTCCAGCACATACAGACATACACGACGACTCCTGTGGAATGTGGGTGTAGAAGCGGGTGTATATTAGAGCAGTGTTTCGTGTCGTGGAGCCAGTGTCGCGCTGGACGCCGTGTGGGGAGGACGTCTGCCGGTGGCGCTCTCCACCACACACACATACAAGCCCGTTGTAATACCCGCGTTGACGACCGTTGTGGTGATGAATATTCCTGTTGGATAACGACGTGCAGATGAGGCACTGGATCCAGCAGAAAGGGGTATGAGTTTCTGAACCACTATGAGACACTCATTACTCACCTCATATGTGAGTACTGAGTGCATAAGTGCACTAAGCACTAGCAAGAATGCATTAGTAAACACAATTTAAGATAATTTAGACATAATTAAGACAATTTTAAGATTTATAACACAATTAGAGTGAATGAAAGGTTTCCAGCACGCAAGTTTAGTGAAAGTAATTTAGAGGCATTGCGAGTTACAAAGAAAAATCGTTGATACAATACGTGAAAAAGCTGACGGAATTAGCTTCATGTCAGCCCTGGTGGATTCCTGTGTACTGGCGCGGGTGTCAGCTAGCGTGGGAGTGTGTCAGTGCCAGAGCTGACATAGGAGTCAGGAAGCGTGGGCGTGTGTCAGTACCAGAGCTGACATGACAAGAGTCAGTATTGGAAGGAATTTGACGTAATTCTGAGGACGAGGCTACCTTGTAATAATGACAATGACTGGCCAGGGTTGAAATCACTTTTTGAGTCATGACATCAGTGGTAGTGGGGGTCCAAGACATCAGTGGTGGTGGGGGTGAAGACATCATTAGTGTACAGCTTTATGACCCCTCATCACATGACTTCGTAACACCCCCTCCCACCACCATAGCTTTACGATACCCCTTCCCATCACCATAGCTTTACAACACACCCCTCCCATCACCATAGCTCTACGATACCCCTTCCCATCACCATAGCTTTACAACACACCCCTCCCATCACCATAGCTTTACAATACACCCCTCCCATCACCATAGCTTTACAACACACCCCTCCCATCACCATAGCTTTACAACACACCCCTCCCATCACCATAGCTTTACAACACACCCCTCCCATCACCATAGCTTTACAACACACCCCTCCCATCACCATAGCTTTACAACACACCCCTCCCATCACCATAGCTTTACAACACACCCCTCCCATCACCATAGCTTTACAACACACCCCTCCCATCACCATAGCTTTACAACACCCCCCTCCCATCACCATAGCTTTACAACACCCCCCTCCCATCACCATAGCTTTACAACACCCCCCTCCCATCACCATAGCTTTACAACACCCCCCTCCCACCACCATAGCTTTACGACACCCCCCTCCCACCACCATGGCTTAACCACAGCTTCAACAATCGTTGCAATAATTTTTTTTTTTAAAGCCTTAAGTCAATATTGTTATATCCACACTATCACGCGGACTCACCCATTCCTCCCCCGCCCCATTCCTACCCCTATCCTCTCCGTTATCCCCCATTCCATCCTCACCCATCACCCCAACTCCACCCCATGTAGGACTGGCTCTCCAGCGTTCACTGGGGGTCGAACCATTGTCTCTACATATGTTCATACTGTCTCGCCCAGAGATGTAACTCGCGTTCTGGGAGATGTTTAGAAGCCAGCGAGAAGGTTTTTCTGAAGACTTTGCGTGTCTGAAAGCGACGTGTCAATAATCATGACGTCATGTGTCGACAAGAAGTTGTGTCAATAATCATGACGTCACGTGTCGACAAACAGAAGCGTGACTATGGCCATGACGTCACGTGTCAACAAACAGAAGCGTGACTATGGCCATGACGTCACGTGTCAACAAACAGAAGCGTGACTATGGCCATGACGTCACGTGTCAACAAACAGAAGCGTGACTATGGCCATGACGTCACGTGTCAACAAACAGAAGCGTGACTATGACCGTGACGTCACGTGTCAACAAACAGAAGCGTGACTATGGCCAGGACGTCACGTGTCAACAAACAGAAGCGTGACTATGGCCAGGACGTCACGTGTCAACAAACAGAAGCGTGACTATGGCCATGACGTCACGTGTCAACAAACAGAAGCGTGACTATGGCCAGGACGTCACATGTCAACAAACAGAAGCGTGACTATGGCCATGACGTCACATGTCAACAAACAGAAGCGTGCATATTGTCTCCTCTGTAACCGGGTCAATGTTATTGACCCGGAGGAGTCAATATAACTAGTTATTATTATAATATGCGAGAGAATTTAGGTAGGTGAGTAGTTGCCAGATGTGTAACTACACGTGTGTGTGTGTGTGTGTGTGCTGCTGTGTACGTAACACTGTGTCTTTGGCTGTGTGTGTGGTTGCAACAGTGTATATAACTGTGTATTTGCCTATTTGTACTTGCAACGTTGAGAATTAGCTCTTGGACACCGGTCAGCTAATGCAATGACTCCTGATCAATTATCCCATCATATCAACTTTTAAGTAATGATAGTTTCTACAACCTGCTCGTGTTCATTGTGTACATTTCTTATTTTTCTTACCTTTTTCAGTTACCTCGTAAGTATTTTATATGTCTTTAATGTGTCCTCTCTCTTTACTCTTCTAGCAAGGGGTAAAGCCCCATCTCTCGTAACCTGAGACGAGCCTCGTTGTAATCATCGGTGCTTCTTCAAGTATCCTTCTGTGCTTTTCCTCAGAAAGCCATTTTTCCTCTCTCTCTCTCTCTCTCTCTCTCTCTCTCTCTCTCTCTCTCTCTCTCTCTCTCTCTCTCTCTCTCTCTCTCTCTCTCTCTCTCTCTCTCTCTCTCTTTTTCCTTTCTTCTCCCTGGTATTCCATGGAAATATTGCGTCAGAGATCATGTTGTCCACTATTACAATAATTTCTGACTATAAACTGTTATTTCATATGATTTGTATGTGACTCCATCAGCATTGGTAGTCCATATCTTGCCGTTTCTAGTGATGTGTGTGTGTGTGTGTGTGTGTGTGAATTTGTGTAGCCTTTCGTTAAAGCCGTGTGTGTAAATGTGCATGCGGCCATGTGTGTGGGTAACTATGGATATGACTGCAGCTGTATGTATCTGTTGTGTGTGTGTGTAGTTGTACACACACACACACCAGTCCACGAGCCTTGCCGTGCGCTCATAACCATGTGTTCGTGCCGAAATATTTAATTTATTCCTTGTGGATGATTACAGTAGTTTTGTCGGCGCCAAATTGCATGCGCTTACATCTTGGCGCTTCTTTTGTCTTGCTTTATGCCGTGTTCATGACAAAATGTTCCTTAAAATATTCCCTCAAAGATTATAGTTTCCAGATTCTCAGATGTTTTCGACCGAATTTTAATTAAATAATGTATTCGCTTAGTTGTGCTTGCGGGGGTTGAGCTTCGGCTCTTTGGTCCCGCCTCTGGATCGTCAATTAACTGGTGTACAGGTTCCCGAGCCTATTGGGCTCTATCATGTCTTCATTTGAAACTGTGTATGGAGTCAGCCTCCACCACATCACAGCCTAATGCATTCCATTTGTTAACTACTGACACTGAAAAAAATATTTCTTATGTCTGTGTGGCTCATTTCGGTACTCCGTTTCCACCTGTGTCCTCTTATTCGTGTACCACCCGTGTTAAATACCACAAATGAAATGCGAATACCACAGCCTTGTCTACTGTGTCAATTTCAATGAGAATTTGTATGTGGTGATCATTTCTCCCCGAACTCTTCTGTCTTCCAGCGATGTGAGGTGCAATTTACTCAGCATTTCCTCGTAACTCATGCCTCTTAGTTCTGGGACTAGCCTAGTGGCATACCTCTGAACTTTCTCCAGCTTCGTCTTGTGCTTGACACGGTACGGGCTCCATGCTGGGGCCGCATACTCCAGGATTGGTCTTACATATGTGGTGTACAAGGTTCTGAAGGATTCCTTACACAAGTTTCTGAAGGCAGTTCTGGTGTTAGCCAGCCTCGCATATGCTGATGTTATTCTTGTAATGTGGGCTTCAGGAGACAGGTTTGGTGAGATATCAACTCCTAGATCTTTCTCTGTAAGTTTTGTGGAGGATTTAAACTTCCATTCGGTACCCTGTGTCTGGCCTCCTGTTCTCTTCGCCTAGTTTAATTACCTTACATTTACTTAGGTTGAACATCAGTAACCATTTATTGGATCATTCCTTCAGTTTGTCTAGGTCATCCTGAAGCCTCTTACTATCATCCTCGGTCTTAATCCTCATCATCATTTTTGCTCGTCGTCAACTTTACCCAACCACTTGGGCTGGACGGTAGAGCGACGGTCTCGCTTCGTGCAGGTCGGCGTTCAATCCCCGACCGTCCAAGTGGTTGGGTACCATTTCCTCCCTCCCTCCCTCAGCTCCTCAAGGCACCTCAAGGCTCTGGTCAAAGAGATCAGCGTCTCGCTCAGTAAATGATCACAAGGACAAACCCGTCAAATTTTGTTGACATTTCTGGGACAGACTTAAACATCTGTATGTTTGAAGAGGACCAATCAGCGGACATCATAACGGAAATAGACCAATCAGCGGCGACACTGTGGACCAAGACCAATCACTGCACGACATGGAAAATCACTGTTCGCTGTAGTAGACTGTGTCAGAGTATCCCTCAACCAGTGAGTTTACTTTATGTCTTGTGGGGTTTGGCCATCGTGGCCTTGAGTGATCAACGTCACCCAGTCTGGTCTCTGATGCATCGATTATCATTACCTGTGTGTGTGTGTGTGTGTGTGTATGTGTGTGTGTGTGTGTGTGTGTGTGTGTGTGTGTGTGTGTGTGTGTGTGTGTGTGTGTGTGTGTGTCTGTGTGTGTGTCTGTGTGTGTGTGTGGAGGGAGTATTTTTTTGAGATATATACAAGAGTTGTTACATTCTTGTAGAGCCACTAGTACGCGTAGCGTTTCGGGCAGGTCCCTGGAATACGATCCCCGCCGCGAAGAATCGTTGTTACAACCAAGTACACATTTTACTGTTGAGTTAAACAGAGGCTACAGTTAAGGATTTGCGCCCAGTAAATCCTCCCCGGCCAGGATACGAACCCATGACAAAGCGCTCGCGGAACGCCAGACGAGTGTCTTACCACTACACCACGGAGACTTAGCTTATACTTGGAGTTTATACTCCATGCTACCTACGGTATACCTGTGTGCATGTGTGGAAGGAGTTAGTTTACATTCAAGCTCAGTAGGGTTGGGAATCTGTGTACACCAAATGATTGAATCCTGGACGGCGGAAT